CCCTATTTTCCAACCACAACATCAAACGCACTGACTGTTGATTAATCCCTCAGTTGTATCGACCCTCTACAAGACATGTAGTTTTCTCCTCGACATGGACATCTAGCCAATGCGGTTTCCCGTTCCGAGGCTATATATGCAGAGCTATGACGATGTACGAGCGCCCCGTCGGGCCCGGACCCAGCGGAGAGGATTGCAACGACGGGACTCTCCGGCATCTTCCCCGTCGAGGACCTGGATCTTGTTCTTGCCTTGTTTTGCATGGATATGTATGTCCGTCACTGACTCGGACCCAGAGTAGTATCGGACGACACGTGCGTGGCAGGAATCGGGCTCCAGTCTAATGCAACCATCGTCGTAATCCGAAATGCAGCTGTTCCCAGAGGGTCGTGGATGCCTCCTCTTTTGAAAAATAAGCTTGACTGTTTAGACGGATCGTTCGATTCCCCATCTAGCCACTAGGCCAAGTGAGGAATTCTAGCCTGGTCTGTCTTCTCTTCGTGGAAAGTCGACAGCTGCCAAGTTCCCAAACAGGGACGTGGAGATGCAGGGAGCTATTTAGACTTTCTAATGGGCCTGGATTGTGCCGCAAGCACGCCAGGGCGTTGCCGAAGCGTTCTGATGTTGTACCGTAGTAGGGGTGGTGGCTGGGACATGCAGCGCAGTAGGGGTATGTATGGCTTAACGGAGCGAGGAAGGAAAAAAGCAATACGGCCTTGAGCTTAGGAAGTTTAGACGATTAGACCGGTCAAATACCACTGGGTAATTGGGTCAGTTTGGAAGGGATATGGTTTGAGGTTAAGGTAGAACTTCCTTTTTCTCTCTTCACTGGCTTCCCCCAAAACGCGAAATGAAGCTAGACGTCGGAGCCTGACCGGGTCGCCGTGTGATGACTTGTCACACGAGGGATGAAGAGCAGGAAGCAGGTGGCGCGTGAAAAGACTTTCATGCCGCGCAGACTACTGCCGACAAACCGTTGTGGTAACGGAGGGCTTGCGTGGAATAGTGGCGACGGTGAAGGGTTTGATATCGCGGGAACTTCACCTCAATCGAAGTATTCTGTGAGGGAAGCTAGAGCACAACATGAGAATAATGAGGACCAAGCGCACGGTGACAGTCGCACCGTTGGTGGAGCAGACCCTTCTTTGGGCCTTCAGGAATGCGAGTCCATATGCCAGGTCTCAGACGAAATGCGCAAGCACTTGAATGAGGATTGCTGCGCGCGCGCCCTGCAGAAACTCTGCACATTGGATTTGAGAGAGTCCGCAAGTAGTGGATCGCAATGCCGTACGACATTGAAGCTCCTCCCTCTTCTCTTGTCTTGGGCGAAGTTTGAATGGTAATTGAGAGAACAAGCAAGTACACAGTGTCAGCGCTAGAAACGCCCACAGAAGATTCTCTGCGAATGGGGCCGTGCTGATCAGCTGGAGGCGCTGATGACTTCTTTTTTCGAACTATGGAGTGATGCTCATACCCTGTTCATATGCCATCATGGTCGATCACCAGTCTAACGATTCAACAATGCAGCCCCAAGATTGGATTCTCCTGGGATTTTTGCGCCACGACCACCAGATGGGAGGTCGCTCAGGAGCACTCGCACCATGTGAGGAGGCAACATTGCAACAGCCGAAATGCTTTTTTTTCTTGTTTTGTATTGCTTTGGCTTCGATTGAGAGAGTTTTGGGGGTTGATGTTGTTAGTTACTTGACAGGTCAACAACAAACTGTAGCAGTCAGCAATAGCCGGCTGCTCGGCAAATGGCGACATCCTGCCTTCGTAAAAATCGACAAGTCGCCTTCCAGACTGGTAGATATGAATAGTTATCAAACTTAGGGGGAGCCTAAGCTCTGTAGGGGTCCAAAGCCGTTGTAGGCATGTCTTCTGGTCGGTCTCGCGAGACAATCACATTCCGCCCTTCTAGGGTACCACCTCATTGAAGTGGCGGAGAAGATAGGTATAGGGTCGCAAACTTGTACTATGTAGAGGAGAGTAAACGTACCTAGTCGAGGAGGACTAGAAGCAGGTCTATCCTTGCCTGGTATACCCAAACAGGCAACACAAGGAGGAGTGGTGATGAGACTAATTGTGAGCTGCAGCTCCTAGTGCTGGACGATTTGAGAAGCTCCACGCAGAAAGTGGTGGCGGCAAAGCCAGATAACGGCGCTAGCGCCTCGAGATATTGAGATCGTAGTGCAGCCGCCCCTCTATCGTGACCAAAACCTCAGGACGGACGATCGGTTTGTGCTGCGCTGCGCTGCGCTGCTGGCTACCTACCTAGATGGTCCTCCTATGTATTCTCAAGGCATTCAACTCCTCGGCGAAACAGTCATGTACTGTAGGTAACATCATTGCGTGGCCACCTGGAACTCTTTGAATGGTATCACGACGCCGCCCTGCTGTACCGCAACGCGGCAGTGTCATCCCAACGGGCGCGATGAGAAGGCGGGCCCTGGGAAACCCGCTATGCCATCTGGTGTAGGGTGGATCGTGGGAGCAGGGTGGGACCAAGAGATGCACGCACACAATCTCCGATCTGCTGCTGATGCACCGAGTCTATCGAGCGAGCGAAGCATCGTAGGGGTTCTGGGCAGGGCAGTCAGTCGGGAGGAGGGACTCTTCTCTCCAGCATCTTGACCCGTTTCTGTGGGCTACTGTAGTACCTGCTGAACCGCTCTGGATTCCTGGGGACCGTTTTCTATCGTTCCATGCGCTGTCACAGCCCGTCAAAGACATAGAGAGTCAGACACAGTTTGACAAGCGTACTACCTCAAGGATGTGGCTTATGGAATGTTCCTGGGCCGTATTTGCCGGTTCGAGTTCTCCACCGGGGCGTGCCGATAGTTGAGGAAGCTGGAGATCCAGACGCATCAGATGTCACCATTCCCACCAGCAGTCCAGCTTCGAGGTCCCGCATCGCGTTCCCGAGACGCCCAAGGACGGCGAAGACTAGACAAGCAGGGAGAGATTGAGAGGTACTGTTTCTACAGACTCCAGTACAGTCTGCTAGGCTTTGGTGACCCTGGCAGAGTGCGTCCAACTACTGTACTGCATAGTACAAGCAGCACTGCAGTATGTAAGGTGCAAGGGAGGTGGCAGGAGGTGCAGCAAGCCAAAAGCAAGCCACCTTTAACCCGAAGCAAACCAGTTGAACCAGATCCCAGCTGCTGGGCTCGCTGGGCTGGCTGCTGGCTTCCCCAAGCATCCCCCACCAGGCGGCACGGCATGACGGCCGGGGACACAGACCAAGTGACCAGGGGGGGCCGTCGAAAGTGGCTTTTTCTCTGTGGGAAACAAAACAGGACGCGAGAGAGAGCCTGCTGGAAAGGATCGTCGGAGGGCGCCTGCTTGGCCCAGGAACTAGGACCAGGAGCCGGAGTGAGAAGGCCAGGAAGAGGAGGGCGGCGAGCGAGGCGGAGAAGTGCAACGAGTGAATGAGTGAATGGATGATGCAGAAAGAGGCAAAAGGCGATTCGGATTCAGCCCGCGCCGACCGGGCAGCATGCTGTAGCGGCAGAATCATCAGAAAGCAGCAGCAGCGGGATGCTCTCCGTTTCCATCATCGTCACCCCTCCCGCATCCCATCTGCTGGATTGACTTGACCATCCTCTCCCATTTGCAGCAACCCACCCCCCTGGTCCTCGCATCAAGCCTACCCGCAGCAGCCTGCGTCTTGATTGGCGTGCGTGGGCTCTCCCCTTCACCCATTGATGTCAGCTGTGGCCCTGTGGGCAGCAAACTCCTCCCACAGCTCCCAGGCCAAAAAGGCTGTATTCGAGTAGTCTGTATCGTAGTGCAGTCGTAGCAGGTCCATAGTGCCAAAAATTTACATGCCTGAGATCCACTACCTCCTTTATCCATGGCCGGTACCTGTCCTGAGCTGTCCCCGCGGGCGTTGCGGGCGACTGACTCGAGGTAGAACCGCTGGCATCCACAGGTACCGCGTCTTTCTCTCTTATGTACCAAGAGCAAGAAACACGCCGGCGGGCCACCACTCTCCACTCTACTCTCCCATCCACATTGCCCATGCCCGCTCCAATCCACCACTCCACTCCACCACCACCACCAAGGCCGCCATCGCCTCTGTGCTCCTCCAGAAAAGAGTGCTGTACCTATATTCCTCCTCTACCCTGCGCCGTCACTACTCTCTGTGGGTAGTCAAGTCCAGGCTAAGAAAGGTACTTACTCCATCACTTTCACCATTTCTCTGCATTGCTTGCTGCACGCTGGAGTTCGACCCGTCTTCCGCTAAATCGCTTTTGCTGAATGCTGGATGCTGGGGACCGCTGCTCGTGCCGGGTCAATCGTCTTTGCTGCTGGTGGATGCTGTTGCTGGACTAGACGTACCGCTCACCCAGTCTCTCAGTGCAGTCCCTCAACTCGACTCGCCTTGCCTTACCCTGGCGTCTCCAGTACCTACCCACGTACCCTCCGTCCCAGTTCAGTCAGTACCTTGCTTCCTCTACTCTACTCGATCCTCGCAGGACGAACCTTTAAGCCTTTAGGTTTCCTCCTCCCAGGTTCTCCCCAACCCGACCCTTCGACGTTGAACAATTCCATACAAAACGGCCACCCATCGCACGAAGCTTAGGCGTCCCGTTGCAATCCCCGCGCCCATTGTCGCACGCCGAAGCTCGGCAACATCCCTCATCGCGACTCAGTTCTTGCGCTATCAATTGCGGTCGGCGCTCGATTCGATCCTCCTCCTCTCACCCCAACTCCGCCCGCATTGGTCTCCGTCACGCCCACCTCCGCAACGTAGCCGGTCAACCTGAACCTCAGCTGCTTCCGAGAGCAAACCCCCGGGAATTCGCCCTCATTACGCCGGTGATAGCAATCCAAACTGGCCAAGGTGAAGCGCTATCGAGTTATCACCTGAAGCATTTTGTTGTGCGAATCACGAAAGTAAACGACTTTGATACCCGGGTGTTGTCATAGCAGGTACTTGCTTGGATATCTTTGCGAGATTGCTCTCTTGTTCTATCTAGCCTCTGGGTGCAATCATGCCTCCCGAGGACAGTATGGCCGTTGCGGCCGGCGGGAACAACTCCAGCGACTTTGTACGTATGCCCTAGACTGGAAGCTCTCTCTGATAGAGCATTCGCTAACGCGTGCGCAGGTTCGCAAGCTGTACAAGTAGGCCACTCCTCTGCCATCCGAACACTTCCTTTTTTTTTGTTGGTTGCCGTGCTTTCATGCTGACTGCAACTCGAAGGATGTTGGAAGACCCTGCGTATGGGTCAGTAGTACGATGGGGAAATGAAGGCGACAGCTTTGTCGTTCTTGAGGTATTTGCTTCCAACTAGAAAGTTGATGCGATTCGTTGGTCTAACCCTGATGTGCAGAATGAGAAGTTCACCAAGACTATCTTACCCAAGCACTTCAAGCATAGCAACTTTGCCAGCTTTGTCCGTCAACTCAACAAGTATGACTTTCACAAAGTCAGGCATAACGAGGAGAATGGCCTCTCACCCTATGGCCCGGGGGTACATTTTGCCCAAGATCACTTTTCAACCCAGCTTCGGTTTGGCTAATGTTGATGACAGGCTTGGGAGTTCAAACACCCAGAGTTCCGCGCTGATAGCAAGCATAATTTGGATAACATCCGGCGCAAAGCTCCTGCCCCGCGGAAACCGCAAGCCTCCGAGGAAAGCTTCCCCGCGACGCAGCAGTTGGTGATTCTCAATGATACCCTTATGGCGACCCAGCATCAGGTCCAGCAGCTGCAAGAGCAGTATTTCCAGCTCATGGGCACAAACAGGATCCTTGTAGATGAGATCATGAGCCTTCAGAAGCAGGTCAAGGCGCAGAATCAGGTCAACAACGAGTTGATCAACCACCTTAGTAATGTGGATGAGCGCAGGCGAAGCAGTCGACACTCGGCTCACTCGAGCCACTCCGGTCATTCTGGGGGCTCGTACCACGGTGGCGGTCTCAATGTTCTCCCAGACAGCGCCGACGAACCAGCTCCGGAATTGCGAAGAGCGCGGGACATCTTGAGCGGCATTTCCCCTGATCAGGAAGCGGACAGAGAGCTGCACAGGTTATCCGTGGCGTACCAAGCCTCGCCCCCCGACTCTGCCACATCCTCCACGGTCATGTTTTCGCAGCCCAACACGGCTACTATGCCACCTGCTATGGTGCAAGATCCATTCAGTGACCCGAGACACCTTGTTTATCCGGTTGGGCAGACGATTGGTGTTGATCCTTTCCACCCCGACCATATCAACAGTATCCCATATACCCGTCCTCTCAGCAACCCTAACCAGCCCATGGCCGAAGCGCCGGCACAAATCACCCCTCCGCCATCGAAAGAACAGAAGGTCGTCCAGTGGGGAGCCAAGAAACCCAGAATCTTGTTGGTCGAGGATGACAAGACGTGTGCGAGGATCGGAGCGAAGTTTTTGTCGCAAATCGACTGCGGAGTTGAAATTGCTGTGAGTGAAAGCTATTCGTGATAATATGCGCGAGCATTGACTAACTATCAAGCAGCGGGATGGCCACGAGGCTGTGAACAAGGTTAACAACGACCCTGATAAGTATGATCTGATCTTCATGGATATCATCATGCCCACGCTGGACGGCGTGTCTGCAGCAGCATTGATTCGAGAGGTGACACCGAGAGTGACAATTGTGGCGATGACTTCAAACATTCGACAGGAGGATATCGCAACCTATTTCCACTGGGGTAAGCAAGACACATTAGCCATTTGACTGTACACATCCTCTAACACTTGCCAGGTATGAATGATGTGCTGGCCAAGCCCTTCACCAAGGACGGCATGGTTCGTATTCTCAAGAAGCACTTAGCGTACATGCTTCAAAACCCACCTCAGCCGGAACAGAACCAATATGACATGGGCCAGAACGGTGGTATGCCAGGTCCTACAGGGCCCGCGCAAAGCTACGCTAGCATGCTGGGGTCCGGTAGCACAGTCAAGTTCGAGGGAGGAACTCCGAGCCAGTCGCCAGCAACATCAGCTTCGTGGCATTCGCCTAGCCAGGCTCAAATGTCGCATGCCTCTCCCAATCTCGACAATAGTGGATATGTAGGCGGTCGCCCCCAGATGGTTCTTACTCCAACTGGTCTTCAACAGCCCGGCTTTCCTCCTCAGATAGGAACACCACCTATACCTCGGATGGGCGATGGGATGGGCGGTGATGATCGTCCAGAGAAGCGGCAGCGATTGTATGGGCCCGGACCCGGACAGGGGTATTAGAAGAGATCGAGGGATCGATTCGATTCGCCTTCCTTTGGCAGCGTGGAACGCGCCTCTAATGTGCACTAAATGACCTAACAATCCGATCTGACATGCCGTTTGTTGGATTTGGCCTTTGGGCCGAGCCTAAGGGCACTTGCTGAGTTGTAGATAGAGGCGCTGATGTCCTCCACACGACCTGCTCCTCAGCTGTTCTTTGTTCGATTCTTGGGTTCTGTGGGCCATGTTCCTCCCATCTGCGAGTCGATCGGAATGTGTTGTCGGGCATCGGTATCATGGCTATGAGAAGCGGCGTTCGGGTTTGCTATTTTCGTATATATATATTATGACGACATGATGGGGAAAATACCCGTTGTGCTGTATATCTAGAACATCCCACGAGGCTTGACGGCAGCTCACGATCAACTGAAAGGCAAAAGACGGGGGTGGGTTTGGTGGGTCTCTCGGTGCTGGGTGAGCAAGAGATGATGGATGGTGGGAGACAGCCAGTTCGTAATGGGAAATCGAAATACCAAGTGTGCGAGATTTCACAGCACAGGCATGCACAGGCATAGAGCAGCTCTCCTTCAGGGGTGTTGTCGACTTCGACGAAGAATGGAATGATTATTTTTACTCGTGCCTCTGAGCCCTCGTGATGATCGAAGGAAGCAAGTAATGAAAGACCGATGGGATGAAGTGGATGTTGGTATTATGAGGCAGGCAGCTGGTGGTTGGGGTGGCCCTGGTCCTCTAAGTAGGGGTCCATTCGAGCTTCAAGTGGTCCAATAGGACAAGTGTGTCCGCATGAGTTGGGAAAGAGCAGCGCATTCTGAGTTTCTGATGTTTAGTGGGAGGCGCAGGGGGCAACAGCGAGCGGGTCTCCGTTGAAGGGCAAAGAGCACAAGCGTCTTCCAAACGGATTCGTAGAGGAAAGAGCGCTTCAAGAAGAGGAAGGAGGAGGAGACAAGAACTCGCGGAAGGAAGGATGGAAGTCAGTCAGTCTGTCAGGGGGAACTGCCTCTGAAGGCAAGAGCGAAGAAAGAGATGGATGTAAGACAGAACGGAGGGAAAGAGCGGAGGAGGTGCCGGAATTATATTGGACCTGACATCAAAAGGACGGCATGTCCTCGTCAAGTTGGGGTCATCCTCTCTCTCTCTCTCTCTCTGTGTGTGTGTGTGTGTGTGTGTCTACTCACACAATTCTTACTCTCTCCTCTCTGTTTTAAATCGAACACTGAAAGGAAATTCGGGATGCGGTCTCGTCCTGTCTCAATGGGGGCCACCTACCTATAGGTCCGTATGTAATCATGGTAGGTACCTGAAGACCCTCTATTATTGCAAGAGCTTTGGCGAGGGAGTGAGGTAGCTAACTGTACCCAGGGCTTCCACCTCCACTTGCATGTGTTGTCTGATCCTGTCCGGTCCTGTCCTGTCTTGTCCTACCGCCTTTCCCGGTCTGGATGGTTCGATGGTCTGCAGCAGCCCCAGGCGGTTGGCACCCGAAATTGGCACAATACCCTGTTTCGAGCCTGTCGAGCCTGTGGTATGGGGTTGTGTGGCTGTCCGCCGCGTGCGCAACGGTCGTCAATGGATCCTCTCCAAGGGTCTGGACTGCCGTCGAACTTGGCTGTTTCCCTGCCGCTGCCGGGGGTGGCATGATTCTCCAGTCAACCTTTTCAATAGCAATGCGCACACTAGGAGACAAAGAAGCTATAGAACATCTACCATGATCACTATTGGCATCATTTCCACTGAAGAAACCGGCTCTACTGGCTCTACGAACTACCTAGGGAGGCAGCCACTCGTCCTATCACCTGTAGTGCGAAGATTGTTTTGCAATGGCACCTGCTGGCTGTTTTCGGTGCGCCAAAAATGGAAGCTTTCTTTTCATGTAATCCATCAAGGGGTCCGAGTTTGATTTTGGGTAACATGGAAGATGGAAGAGTGGCCCTGGCGGCACACGAGCAGGGTTCTGCAGAGGTCTGGAAAGGCCTATTTCTTGCGCCCGCCTCCAATGAGGCTTGACTTGGCCCGCCTTCTTCCGAGCTTGGCCCCCTGCCGCCCCAATTTCCGTTATACGTGTAGAATGGGATTTCATTATAACTCTAATGCTATGGTTCAGAAAATCAAGGTTGTTCCTAAAGCTCTCCTAGAGTACGGTGCTGACTATGGCATAGTAAACCCACAGGAAACGTGAATTTGGACGGGAGAGTGAGATCAAGTACTCAGGTAGCTACAGGTCCAATAAGGGTATTCTGTCAGACACTTCAGCTTTACTGAAGCAGAAAGGGCTGTTTGAGATGACAACAAGCCTATCGCAGCCGTATGATCATTGAAGAAAGCGGCCGTCCAACTGAAATATCATATTTTCTTTACAAGATTCTATAGTGTCGTCAGGAAATGCCAAGCGCATAACTTGCTTCGTAAGAGGCTCCTAGCAGCTAAAGTCAAATACCATAGCTAGGCAAGATCTGATAGAGCTCTGGGTCGGTCGGTACATGTAGCTTAGGCTAAGCTTGCCTGAGAAACATGTTCCTCATCTCCACCTTAGCCTTGTGGCCCCACCTGAATTTTTGCTTGACTCACCAACGCGCATATGACAACGATGATGCAACTGCCTCCTTGAAGCTGCCCATCTGTAGATAATCCATTTCTGCCAAGGCAATCCGGTGTATCATTTCTATTTGATGCTATAGGATGTCACAGAATAAAGGCAAGGGCAAGGGCGGAGGTGCCGGCAAGGGCAAGAACCCCTCCAAGGCTGTCACCGAGGAGAAGAGAGAGGATGCGCTGCAGGCCGTGGTATGTGTGCTCCAGCATCGCGATTTGCCTCTACTTGGGCGCATGGTTGGTCATTGACTAACAGTCTATCTTACCTTTGCAGATCCTCACAGACTCCTTCCAGGATCGTTTTATGCCATTTACCCTCGAGAAGCCACGAGTACGCCTTCACCACATTCCCAAACGCGCCGCATTGCGCAGGACTAATTCTTCTTGCAGTGTCTCTTGCCTCTCGCGAACACGCCGCTGATCGAATACACACTTGAGTTCCTGGCCATGAATGGCGTCCAGGACGTTTACATATACAGCGGCAACCATACCGACCAGGTGGAAGAGTACATCCACCAGTCACCTAAATGGAGTCCTACCAGCAAGATCACACCCTTCTCCTCCCTCGAGTTCGTCCGAGTATCTGATGCGCGATCCATTGGCGACTTTCTACGCGACCTTGACAAGCGTGGTTTGATCGCTGGGGACTTCATTTTGGTCCACGGCGACCTTGTCTCAAATATCTCCCTGGACAATGCTCTTGCGGCTCACAAGGCGCGGCGGGAGGCCAATCGCGACGCAATTATGACCGTGGTGCTCAGGTCTGGAGGAGCTGAGGACCACAGAACGAAGTCACATGGAATCACACCGGTATATGTGGTAGAGTCGAATACGGGTCGGTGCCTACACTATGAGGAGACACATCCCCTGCAGAGCGATCACTACCTTACTCTGGACCCCTCGATCCTAGACCATGACATCGAGATCAGGAGTGATCTGATCGACAGCGGTATCGACATATGTACCCCTGATGTGCTGGCGCTGTGGTCGGAGAGCTTTGACTATGAATTGCCAAGGAAGAATTTCCTACATGGCGTGCTCAAAGACTGGGAGCTTAATGGCAAGCTGATATATTCAGACATCGTTGAGGAAGGCTACGCTGCCCGCGCCAGTAACCTGCAGATGTACGAGGCTCTAGGCCGCGACATCCTAGGCAGGTGGACGTATCCATTTGTTCCAGATAACAACCTCGTCTCAGGTCATCACTACAAGATGGTGCACGAAGACGTCTGCCGCGAAAGAGGATCAATGTTTGAGACAAACACTCAAGTATCGACCTCAGTAGTAGGAGCACAGACTGTGGTTGGCAGCGGAAGCTCGATTTCAAACAGTATGATTGGTCGGCGTTGTATAATCGGCAAAAATGTAAGGATCGAGGACAGCTACATCTGGGACGATGTTGTCATCGATGATGGGACAGTCATAAAGCGTTCAGTTGTGGGCAACGAGGCAGTACTCGGAAAGAACTGCTCCTTGCTCGCAGGATCCGTTCTATCTTTCGGAGTTCAACTCAGCGACAACATTTCCTTCTTATCACCACAGGTGCTATCCCTGTTCTCGCTTGACCGTCACCTGGTATCGACAGACAAAGCTCTGCTCGGTCCGGAAGGCAAGGGGGCTGCGTTCAAGGACATTGAGGACGATGAAGATGTCGACCCTTCAGACCCTTCAATCCTTCAAAAATCTCTCATCTACTCGCTCGCCGACCTCAACATATCCACATCATCTATCTCAACTCTCGCTTCTGAGGTTGATGACTCTTCAGATGACGAAGATCAGTCACTACAACCAGGAGATCTCGCGGATCGTGCCCGCCACCCCTCGATGTCCTCCTTTACCTCTGACGATAGCACCGCACTGGCATCAAAGACATCATTTCACACAGATGCAGTTCAAGGACTGCTCGAGGCTCTACGGGGCGATGATTCGGAGGACTTTGACTCTGCAAAGTTGGAATTTATGGGACTACGACTTTCTCATGATGCATCAGATTCCTCTGTTCGACGTGCAGTGACTGTTGCATTTGTCAAGAGAGCTGCCGAGCTTCTAAGCCCCGAGTACGGCGGGCTAGAGCCAACCAAGTCAGCTGAGAAGACCGTCGCTGCTAAGAGAGGCGCCGCGAAGTTTCTTAAAGAAGTTGGCGTCGGCGGTGGTAGTGTCGACGAGCAAGTGGAGTTCACACTCGCCTTGCAGAAGGCACTCGTCAACCTCAGGGACACTGAAGTAGGTAGGGCAGGCACCTTGCTAGCCGCACTACTACAACAGCTATACAACCTCGACGTTCTGGAAGAGGAAGGCATCCTAGGGTGGTGGGCAGACAAGAGAGCTGCAGAGGGAGACAGCATGACCACAGTCAGGGAGAAGACCAAGGTCTTGGTTGAATGGTTGGAGAACGCATCAGAGGAAGAGGAGAGTGACGATGACGAAGAGGACGAGGACGATGATGACGAGGATTGAAGATGAGGATTGATAAGCTCTCCTTCCGGAAGTGCCTTGGCGGCACATGCTTCTTCTCATGATACTTGATACCGGCGTTGGAAAAGTTAGTGCTAGATGCTCAGGACATATTTAGGCTAATTAGACAAGAGCATATCGCATGCTTCTACAGTCTATCCCTTGGCCTAACTCCCAAGAAGCTATTTGAGCGGCTGTAGCCGCTTGGTGCCGTATTTGGGGAGTTCCTGAGCTGGGCTGATCTAGAATTTATACCAACATGTGAATGATACTTATCCAGCCGATTTATCCGCCTCTTGCAAATCTTACTGAGCCCATATGTGCAGGCAGGCCAGTAGAGACTGTTCCAGATGCGGTACTCTAGAGCTGCTGAGGCTCCCAGTCACCTCAGCCCACGCACGGTCCCGACGGGAGATGGCTCCGATTCAGTAGAGATCAGTGCCAGATTAGCGTCATTCGGCTCAACCTTTAGTGTGGCGTGAGTGCTGTACCTTAGCCTGCCGCCAACAACTTTCCACAGCTCATCGGTGAATTTACTCCAGAGCCAACCCACCGAGAAGTCGACGATTTTTAAGACCGGCGCAGGACTCTTGAAATCGAGGATTCCGGAGGGGCTCCCTTCTATGTATGTAGCATCCAGAATCCCACGCAAGCATCTGTTGTTGGGGCCACGACGAGTCATGACTACTTCATACGCCCAGGCGGCGCAGAATGGCTCTGCCAATGGGCATCATACTGTGACAGCCATGAGTAGATGGTCCGTTCTGAGCAAGCAGCTTCCAGGTAAGCCGCGATCATCTCTGCGCCCCTCCAGCATCTTTGGCCGACGACTTGCTGGTCTGTCCTTGTTGCTCTAGCTAACCTTGATAATCTTTCAGCCGCAGATCAGATCAAGGCGCTTCATGTCTACGACTTCGATAACACACTTTTCAAGACGCCCCTACCCAATGCGAAGCTATGGAACGGTCCGACGATAGGAACCCTAGCCAATCCACAATACTTTGTCAACGGCGGCTGGTGGCACGACTCGCGGATCCTCGCTGCGACCGGTGAAGGAATAGCAAAGGAGGAGCCTCGCGCCTGGGACGGCTGGTGGAACGAGAAGATCGCCGAGCTGGTACGGCTGAGCACAAGGCAGAAGGATGCGCTATGCGTGCTGCTCACGGGCCGCTCCGAGCACGGGTTCGGCGAGCTGATCAAGCGTATGGTCGCGGCCAAGGGACTGGAATTCGACATGGTCTCGCTCAAACCTGCCGTCGGACCGAACAATGAGCGTTTCGAGAGTACCATGAACTTCAAGCAGATATATCTGAGGAATCTGATGGAGACGTACAAGTACGCAGAGGAGATTCGAATTTACGAGGACAGACCGAAGCACGTGAAGGGCTTCCGTGACTTCTTGACCGAATACAACAAGAAGCAAAATGGCATCGGAGGGACGCCAACGCGCGGGCCTATTCTGGCTGAGGTCGTGCAGGTTGCCGATGTGGCGACAAATCTTGACCCCGTGGTCGAAGTGGCCGAAGTACAACATCTCATCAACCTGCACAATGAAGCTGTATCGAAGAGGGTGGCTGGAGCTCGCGGCGAGCGCCTCATGATCAAGAAGACTGTGTTTTACACTGGCTATCTGATCGATCAGGCTGATACGAAGCGCCTTCTCAGCCTGGCGCAGTTCCCACCGGGCATGCCCGAGGTCGATCTCAAATTTCATGCTAACAACATCATGATTTGCCCCCGGCCTTGCCCGAATAGTATTCTGGAGAAGGTCGGCGGCATGGGGAGCAAGATGAAGTGGGAAGTTACCGGCACGGCTTGTTTCGAGAACAGCATTTGGGCTGCGTGTCTCCGACCAGTACCAGCGACAGCAAAGTTTCATACGGACAATCCAAGTCCTCTTGTTGTTCTGGCACTCAGAAAAGGCGCACGACCGATTGATGCTGGCAGGATCCAGAATTGGCAGCCCATTTCTCCGGACAAGGCTCATGTTTTTGAGACGACGGTTGGTGAGAAGGTACTCCTGCGCATTGAGCCAGAGGACCCAAGCGAGAATGAGTATGAGAGCCTGTTTCCCAATAAGGCGTCTAAGCGCAAGCATACTGGTGACGAAGAGCCTTATCCGAAGCACGGGGGATCTTATGGCAATAAGGAGAATTTCCATCATTCAGGTCGCGGTGGACGCGGAGGAAACCAGGGGCGAGGCGGACGTGGCACACCGAACAGAGGATACCGCAGTGGTGCACGAGGTGGGAACAAAAGTGGCCGGGGCGGCAGAGGAGGTGGACATCACTACAAATCTCTTGATGATGTCGGCACGCGAGACAACCAGAGCGGATTCGGGCCATCTACCGTGACGTACGATGATAGTCCACAACAGTCCGCCTACGCTCAGTATCAGCAGATGCACCAGCAACAGGCATACTCGTACCAGCCTCAGTCGAATGGCCCTCAACCGCAACAGAGCCGACCAGGTGGGAGTGGGAACCAACCCGGCGGGATGGAGTTCTCGAACCTATACTAATGCTTGGGGGTTGCCTGCTCTGGTCCCGAAAGGGAATGATTGGAAGCGTTGCTTGTCTTGAAGAATTGCATTTGATTGGTGTTAGTAGGCGTTCGACTAACGAAGGGATGGCTCTGTAAAAGTAATGATTGCCGGGGAAAGAACCAGCAATAAGCTGTTTTCGTGAAGGCTCGGAAGGGTCGAGCTGTGGAGATAGGTCCATCACGTATGACATTGTTTGTAGCATTATTACATACCCAATAGCTTTCAAAACCAGTATTGAAGGTACGGGCTGGTAACGAATGGTAGGCGTCGATAACAATAACTGAATGCTTGATTTTCACTAAAGAGATGCCTCCCCGTGCTCTGAACCCCTTCGAATCGCCGGTGGGTGCTTCAGGCATGTTGTCTAGTTACGGCGAGAATTTGCTCTTTGCTGCAAGCTGAAGATAGTGTTTATCAAGAAATGCATTCTACTCCAAACGCCATGTCGTTGCCCCTGAGAATCAAGATTTTGCCGCCCAACCTAACGCCATCTATGATCATGCTTATCTGTGACCAGCTATGCCCCCTTCATATCTCATTGCCTCTTCGGAGAGGAAAGGAAAAAAGCATCAGGCCATGGTCACATCCTCAGACTCGGTCTTTTCAGGCCGGCCATTGTCGGTTCTCAAACCCACCGCAGCGTCCGCCTCCTTGTGAGTGTACGGCTCCTCACGCAGCTGCTTGAGTCTTCAGAAAATGTATTAGTAGGTCTTTCCATGCAATGGTGACTGCATCACAAACCTCCGCTTATGAGGCTTGCCACGACGGTGAACAACGAGACTCGTCTCCGTCTCAAACCATTTGGCGCATTCTACGCAGTAGTGTCTTCCCAGGCCGGGAAGATCCTCAGCTGCCTTGGTATCCTTGTATTTCTGCAGATGTCGTGGAGACAAAATATCCGACTTGATCTGGTCGATATCCCTGAAACAAATGTGAGCCTTTCACACAACTCATGTCGAGTGCCTGAAGACCGTCAAACAGATAGCTGAATCTTACCTTGTATATCGCCGAGTCTTCGTCTTCGTTCTCTTAGGTACGCCCATGATGAATGTGGAATAGGAGCAATCTGCCAATTATGAGACGGTCCAAGATGATTGACGTGAGATTGTGATGTATGGATGCGATTAAGAAGTTGATTGATATCGAAAGTTTGCGACCGAGTTGAGTGGCGCTAAGATGTGTGGGTAAAAATTGTACTTTACATCCACCTGGTCTGTGCGCCCGATCCACCCAGGCGATCGGCCATCTGCTTATTAGGGGGAGGTTGTTATTTAACCATGACATTCAACATCTGCTCCTAAACTTCTGATATGTCTCTATGGCCTCTCCCCTTTATATTGCTATGTCATCCATAGCAGTGGTCGACTTTCTTAAACTGACGCTGACCGTTGCACTACTTCAAGTTCATTCTGTCTTCCTCTTATCCTATCATTGTCCCAAGGTCCTCAACCAACATGTACCCCAGCATTATGAACACGCTTATTCTCCTTTCCAGACTTTTGCGAGGAAGTCTTCGACTTGAGTGAATTCGTAATCCGGCAGGATCTGATTCCACTCGTCCGTCACATCCCATGCGCCCCGGCAGGTGGAGATCAACATCCCAATCGTAGCAGTCTTGTTGACTGTCTCCATCTCATCTTCTGTGGTAGCATGGAGAGTATTCACGGGGATCAAATAATCACTCTTAACTATGCCCGCCTCGAGGTCCTTCAGCTTGAGCCACTCGATTGCGAATGGTCCGCCTGATATATGTTAGCCCTGAACCTTGAATTTCCCGTTCCGAAAGGCCGCTCAATTAGAACAAAGCATTACCTCTGACATCCTCTGCCGTCTTGAGAAGTTTTCGTATCGTGACACGACTTCCACGCATTCCACCAATTGCTGGCCAATCACCTTCGTACTCGACGGCGCGAGCAACCACGCCGCCAATATCCTGAACCGATGTGAAGGTCACATGCTGATCTAGGGAGCCCTCCACGACAAGAGCGTGTCGTTTCTCAACATTGACTTGTAGCGGTATTGTGGTGATATGCTTTGCTGTCTTGTGTGGATGGCCAAGGTAATTCATAAAACTGCCAGGCTGGAACGTGGTGTACTCGAGCACCTTTCATAGCCATGTTAGCCTCGATGTGCTAACACGAAGCGAGAACTGCAGAACGCCACCTTTTTCTCCTTATTCAGATTTTCCAGATAGCGCCTGATTTCAATCTTGTTTGAATACTGGGGCAAGACGTCAATCGAATGCTCCGTGCTCGTACCACTTCTACTCGTCAGCTCAATGTCTGTAGTCTGTTGCGGCACGAATGCGTATAGCTTCTTACGTCGACCACTCAGATGGTGCATATCGTTTGACGCCGGCTTCAATAGCGGCATCAATGAGCCGCTTCTGCGCGTTACTTCCTGGATCAAGGTGTACCACGAAGAAGCACAGTACTGTATGTATACCTTGAAGCAGTTGCACCAGTTTCGACTTGTCTTCGTAGGTTGTCTGCACCCATTTGACACCGTGGAGAGCCGGAAATTGTGAGGGATCCTAGTGTTCTTCCGTCAGACTCATGCTCTAGAGGAATATCTGAAGATAGAAACCGCTACCTTCCGATTTAAGGCGATAATTTCATGCTTCCGAGTTTCGACCAATTTATCGAGCACTTCCCTGGCTAGCTCTACCATAAGAAGGTTAGCGAAGTCAGAGCAGCCACGGCATAGTAGCTTACGGCTCGAAGCTCCTGCTATAGCAATTTTAACCATTTTGACGAATTGCTTTCGATCCTGACGGGATACCAAGGCAACTCTGAACAGCACTCTCATCTCTCTCCGAGATTCAACATAATACTTATAGAGCATCCCGCCATCTCTTCGCCGCAGCACAGTGATACCAAGTAGAATCGGTCCAGGCAAGATCCGACATGTTGCATTCTTCACATAACCTGGGCTATTTTAGGGGGGCTGTTGGTGACTTTACGGCGCAAGTATTCATCCGGAGAACTGTTGAAGAAAAACCATAGCATTCGTACAGGGACATGGCACCGATCAAGTCAATTTGTGGTCCAATGTGAGAGTATGCTAGTGCATAAGTATTTGTGTCAGTCCATGCTGGGTTGGTGTTTCTCATAGCTGAGGTGGTTACGTGATCGGCCTGAATACATCCCGGATCAACCCACTAATTGGCAATACCGCCGGTAAATCGATTTAGAACACTTACATAACTAGGAAATATCATCTCCGCTCTGGCGGCTCGAATGACCGACCGATATTACGTGTACCCAGATCAAGATGGGCACCATAGAAGATGATATTCGGGTAAGGACACCTTGAGTTTGCAAGATCTGTCGCCAGAGACTGACCGGAACACAGCGACGGCAGGAGCGGGGCCGCCGGTCCCAAGCTGCGTTCCGGAAGCGCCAGGCCCAGGCTGTTCAGGATATGACAGACCAGAATCGCAGGCTCAAAGACGGTATCAGACAAGCAGTCAGTGCCATCCGGGGAGATGAACATTCGGAATTGCTTCACTCCATACTTGGCTTGGCGGAGGCCGCAGGAATTGATGTTGAGACTCCGGCACAACCAGATACAATCAAGCCTCTAGATCATGACGATATTACCATCGATGCTGCAACTGGAGAGTATGTCTATAAATCAGAAAGCCACGAAAAGTCTCATGCAGGGCTCGCAAAGGTGGATTCACAGATCTCGCAACGCCTTACCTGCGGGATATGGCTGGACCCGCTGCATTATACGCGAGCCTCACTACCGCCAGAAGATATCCTACCATATCTCGGACCAGGAGCCAAAACGTTCGCAGGGCAGCTCTTCTGGTCAATGGCTGAACACGGCCAGACTGAATGCAAGCACAGGCACCCAGATCAAACCGCGCTTTTTAGGAAAGGGTTGATGCACTCGAAGCCTACACAGAGTTTAGAGGTACCATTTATGAAGGCCATGCTTGAGACGAGACTGGAGTACAAGCGAACAGGTTTCATGAGCCCAGAGCACGCTGCGGCGGGGGAGGTAGACTTGGGAATAGTGTTGCGGGATCGCATCGAAAAAGACTATCGCGGCAGAGGGAAGGATCCAGACTCGTGGCTTTCATGCGTCGCTATCGAGAAGCGTGCGAGAAGAATTCTCGGTAATTGTGCCGTTTCTCTCCTAGAAGAAGCCGCAGAAGGCAGAGGAGATCCTTCTCTCCGAGACTTACTGGCCAGCCTCACGTGCAGAGTTTATGAGGCAGCGATTTGCTTTGGAGACGGCCCAAGGTGTCATGTTGATGTAGTGGACGAGATGTTTCTCGACTGGATAAGAAATGGCGTGCTACCTACCTCGTACTAGTCAAGGGAGCAATGAACGATACATACTCGGATCCTATCAGTCTTATGAGTGCTTGTCCCTGTGACATCGGGCGGTCTCGAAGCTGTGCAGAGCCTGGGTATTGATACCATTACGAGGAATAGAGTTCAATATGAACTGCTCACATGCCTCGGCAAGGGCACTTTGAGCCGAACATGATTTCCGTCTTACTTATGATAAGCCTTATGGCGGACAGCTGAGGCAGCCTCTCGAAGCAGGCTGTTCGCCTGGTCTCTTCAGATTTGGGCATGATAGAGCCACTACGTCCCACCGCCCATTATAAAGGATCGGAGGTTGTATATAAGACTGGATAGGGAGATAGTGGTAGATAACTTAGAGCCTTTTGTATCTGGGTGAGTCTGGGGAGCTCCCCGAGGGGAAGAATGGGGCAAAGCCTTGAAAGGTGTGTAGAAAGCTTGAGGAAGCTAGAATTGAGCCTCTATTTCAAGATCTGTTTCATTCATCTGTTAGTAATCTCTCGCTACTCCTACAACTCAACCGAGAATCACGTCATCTCACAGCCAAGTAACATCCTCAGATCACGATAATCGTGTCATTACAGATGATTTTAGGTAAAGCAACAGAGTAAATCAAACATAACTAGATTGGATAGTAATGCCGTTAAAAGGGCTCACTTTGCTACAGGAGTTTCACAAGAAGGGCAATAGATTTCAATACATTTGAAGACCTTTCCTTTATTGAGAGCCCAAGGACGTGAAGAAAGGCAAGTGAGCCTGTCAGAAAATGGTGGATCCGTACCTGCCTTTTTCATGTCCTAGGTAGTTTGCCCGACCAGTCCTTAACAATCCAGTAACAAACCGTCTTCATCTAGTTCGCGACAAATCATATGAAAGAAAATACCAATTACTTATGTAAATTGAAGACTCCTGACATGAGCAAAGTAGGTCTTGAGCTTCATTAGTCAAGGGAAAGAAGGTGGGCACGCGACACCAAGTGCGAATCGCCAAAGCTCACTTCTTCGGCAGCTACCTCCACAATTGAAGGATGCAACGGTTTCTTTCTTCCGAAACGAAAAGAAAACAAACCCTACAAGTCCAATTTGCAACGCCGAGTCAGTTCCATCAGATCAATCTGCGATGGCGTGTGAATAGCTTCCGGCAGGAAAGTGGACGTTTTCCGAGGTCGAGATTCGGTGGAGCCGTTAACTCCCTCGTAACTTCGTAACACCTCTCGCCGCCGAGGCGGAGGTCTCGTTCACCGAGCCCGGGGCCTCGCCCGAACCCCACAACTCGCTGGGAACGCGGTTAATGATACAGGTCTCCAGGCCAGCAAATTTTCAGCTTTTGCCTCATTTAGTCAAGGAGGAGCATTTCACTGCCGGGCAAGGGCAAGTGGTACTTCACCCTCTACCAGGCCAGACAGAACTTGCCCGACCAGGTCGAGATGCTTGCCGGGCCGTGCCCGCGGCATCGTTTTGACGTCGACGGGAACTGCGGTGCCATGCAACAGCTTTCTGCATCAGTGCTTCCCTCTGCGCGTAGGTTGCGTGGAGGGTGCGCCCAATGGCAAGCTGCCCTTTACACAGCAAGGCCGAGGCTACGGTAGACTGCGGGCAATTTTTTATCTGGAGCTTGTACCCTCTTGACCCTCTCGAGCCTAGTAGGCTTAGGTTATCCTTGTTACACGTATGATTTCCAGGCCGTCAAGGGGAGTGCAATTAGTGGGCAAGTGGAGAGGAATGCCTGGGTTCCACACCAGGAAAAGGAAACGCAGCAGCCGACATGAACCGAGCCAGCTTGCACTGACTTGAGGCATTTGTTCGGCCGCATGAGGGGGCGTTTCTGCAACAACGAGGAATTGATGAAGTGACCGGCCCGTGACAGCCATTCATTGAGAGCCTATAGAGGATTACAGGTGCTTTGGATACTGGATATCCAGCCCTAAGCCGACCCTGTTCGGTGTTCTGAGAATCTACCTGGAGGTTTAATAGCCGTCTGTGGAGGAGGGGCATGTACTCTTGGAGAAGCACATGCTTTTTGATATTCCCACAGGGCAACATGGATCTGGACCGGATATGCCGCCACGCGAGTACAGTAGCTTTGCCGACGGGAAGAATGTCGAGCAAGGTAACACTAGAACCGGATTCTAGATTTCTGGAACTTCAGAAGAGGATGAAGCACGCCGTTGTGCTGACTTTACAGTATTGCTGGTAGTTCAATGGCTATGTGATGTGATGCTTTCAACCGTACCTACCAAAGACCTGCAATGTGATGTAAACTGTCGTTGCTGTGTGGTGCAAGGTTTCTGGGGCAAGGATTGGGGTGTGTGGCTGGAATGCGCGAAACTTGTAATAAGAACAGGCCTTGCTGCTAAAAGTACTACCTACCAATCAGATCAGGGTATACTGTCCACTTTGGGTTGCTCCCGCTGTCCCAGAACCATAGAAAACTAAACCCAATCCCACCTAAGTCTAAGTTTAATCAGCTCTCATTGGCCAGAGGTGGATATTTCGGGCGAGATGAAAAGTCATTTTAGCGAAACCACACTTCACACCCCTGTGACGTTTTGTTTCCTAGCTCCGCTCAGTAACATTTTCCTGTGGTCGCAAAGGCAGAATAATCAGCAGCTTCTGATTCGCCAGTGACCCGGCGTCCCCATCGTCATAGCCGAGAAAGTACCTCGTGTGGCAGCTTGCCTTTAGTGCGGCAACTGGGAGGACTAAAGCCTGCCTGTGGGTGGTGTGTGGCCTTCGGTCGACTTCTGCTATCTACACCAAACCTCCACCTTTTTCCTTCGTCCGTCTTCCTTTTTCCCCTTCCCTCTTCCAGACGACGACGACCTCACCAATCTCCACTCCAATTGTTTCCTTCTCACTGTACTGGGAAGCGTCCATTGGGAAGATTACCCCTTAGGAAAAGGTTCCAGTGATCGTGACTGCGACTTCACCATGTTGTCCCGTCAGCTCCTGGGCAGTGTGGCCCGGAGCCGAGCTGCCGTCGCAGGCCTGCGGCGCACCATGGCCACCGTCTCAGACTACAACCTTGACCAGAAGGTAAGTTACTCAATTGCTCGTTGTTCTGCGTACGACATGCGCTGCTTATTCGCGCCGGATGAACCCCTGCTGACATTCCCTGCGCGAATAATAGGTCAAGCAAAACAACTGGGAAGAGGGCAACTTCATCAACTACAAGAAGATGTCTGAAAACCTTTCCATTGTGCGCTCAAGACTGAACCGTCCTCTCACGTTCGCCGAGAAGATTCTATACTCTCACTTGGACGACCCGGAGGGCCAAGATATCGAGCGTGGTGTCTCATATCTCAAGCTGCGACCGGATCGTGTTGCTTGCCAGGATGCCACTGCTCAGATGGCCATTCTTCAGTTCATGTCTGCTGGCATGCCCTCTGTGGCCAACCCCACAACCGTCCACTGCGATCACTTGATCGAGGCCCAAGTTGGTGGCCCCAAGGATCTCGCAAGGGCTATCAGCACCAACAAGGAGGTCTACGACTTCCTTGCATCCGCCTGCGCCAAGTACAACATCGGTTTCTGGAGGCCAGGCTCTGGTATCATTCACCAGATCCTACTCGAGAACTATGCTTTCCCCGGTGGTCTACTGATCGGAACTGACTCTCACACCCCCAACGGAGGCGGTTTGGGCATGGCTGCCATTGGTGTCGGTGGTGCTGATGCCGTTGACGTCATGGCTAACTTGCCCTGGGAGCTGAAGGCCCCTAAGGTCATCGGTGTTAAGCTGACCGGCCAGATGTCTGGCTGGACTTCACCCAAGGGTTTGTGGCTCCTCTGACTTGATTTTATGACTCTTGCGCATGCCTGCTAACTCATTAATAGATATTATCCTTAAGGTTGCCGGTATTCTCACTGTGAAGGGGGGCACGGGCGCGATCGTAGAATATCACGGTTCGTAATAACCAGTTACTTGTTTATTACCTGATTATCCATTGAACTAACATGACTCTCCTTTTAGGACCCGGAGTCGAGTCTCTATCAGCGACGGGCATGGGCACTATCTGCAACATGTTTGTAGACCCTTTCCTGTTCTTGTTCTGATTTCTAAATGCTAACTGTTTATTCCTAGGGGTGCTGAGATTGGCGCCACTACATCTGTCTTCCCATTCAACGACAGAATGTACGACTACCTTGCCGCTACGAAACGAAAGGAAATCGGTGACTTTGCTCGTGTTTACGCCAAGGAACTCCGTGAGGATGAGGGCGCTGAGTATGACCAGTTGATTGAGATCAACCTGTCTGAGCTTGAGCCTCATATCAACGGACCCTTCACCCCTGATCTGGCCACTCCGATTTCCAAGTTCAGCGAAGCTGTGAAGGCCAACAACTGGCCCGAGGAACTCAAGGTCGGTTTGATTGGGTCTTGCACAAACTCTTCATATGAGGATATGTCTCGTGCCGCCTCCATTGCCCAAGACGCTCTGGACCACGGTCTGAAGTCAAAGGCGATCTTCACTGTCAGCCCCGGTTCTGAACAGGTCCGCGCGACCATTGAGCGTGATGGTCAGCTTGAGGTATTCGAGAAGTTCGGTGGTGTGGTCATGGCAAACGCATGGTAAGACTTGAGAGCTCATTTGTAACCTGTCAAAATTGTCGCTGACATTAATTATTTAGTGGCCCCTGCATTGGTCAGTGGGATCGTCAGGACGTCAAGAAGGGAGAGGCAAACTCTATCGTTTCTTCCTTCAACCGTAACTTCACAGGTGAGAGGACCTTTTCTTTTTACACTAAACACATGCTAACTGCGTACAGGTCGCAATGACGGGTAGAGTAAATTCCTGCTGGCTTGTTCTGTTCGTAGCTAACATTTTATAGCAATCCTGCCACGCACTCCTTCGTGACAAGCCCCGACCTGACTATCGCCTTGAGCATTGCCGGTACCCTGCACTTCAATCCTCTCACCGACAAGCTTAAGGACAAGGACGGCAACGAGTTTATGCTCAAGCCACCCACCGGTGAAGGTCTGCCCAGCCGCGGCTACGACCCTGGCCAGGACACCTACCAGGCTCCTCCCAAGGACCGATCTACTGTCAGCGTCCAAGTCTCTCCCTCTTCTGACCGTCTCCAGGTCCTCTCACCCTTCGAGCCTTGGGATGGCAAGGACGCTAACGACCTGCCCATCCTGATCAAGGCTCAGGGCAAGACCACCACTGACCACATCTCAATGGCTGGCCCCTGGCTCAAGTACCGTGGTCACTTGGACAACATTTCCAACAACATGCTGATCGGTGCTATCAACGCGGCCAATGGCGAGGCCAACAAGATCCAGAACTTCCTCACTGGCGAATTTGATGCTGTTCCAGCTGTTGCTCGTGACTACAAAGCCAAGGGTATCAAGTGGGTTGTCATTGGTGACTGGAACTACGGTGAGGGCTCTTCTCGAGAGCACGCTGCTCTGGAGCCTAGACATCTGGGAGGTCTTGCTATCATCACCCGATCCTTCGCTCGTATCCACGAGACCAATCTGAAGAAGCAGGGCATGCTGCCTCTCACCTTCTCTGACCCGGCCGACTACGACAAGATTCCCCACGACGCCAAGGTTGACATCAAGTGCACAGAGCTTGCCGTTGGCAAGCCCATCACCATGGTTGTTCACCCCAAGGATGGCGAGGCTTTCGAGATCAAGCTATCACACACCTTCAACGCTGGACAGATTGAGTGGTTTAAGAATGGAAGTGCTCTGAATACCATGGCTAAGGCGAACAAATAGATGATTTGACTTGATTGGAGGTTTCTGTGGGCGGGGCGTATAGTCGCAAATCATACCACTGCTGGTTATCCCAGGGGTGGATTTTTTTAACTTGATGATTACGGTAGTACTGTACAAAATGAATCATTTTCTAATGTCTTTCAATTCGATGATCCATACATGAGCATTGGTGAACAAGAATAAAACCCTGAGCAATGAAATGAACATATCTACTTGCCCAGTTTTCCTCCTGGAGAAGCCTTCCGCGAGTATATAGTTTCTTTGCCACTGTTCTATCAAGGCACTCTTCTACGTTAATTACGCTGATTACCCAAGATTCGCGGCTGGTCAATATTAGTTATATGCTGTCAGTCATTTTGTTGCTTAGCACGCCAAATTCATGACTGATTACTACTTATCGCATCGTTTATTACCCCTAAGATTGTCATGTTTTACGATTTCTAGCAAGGGAAAAGGCACTAGGATGGTCCCCCTTATCCCCTAGATCATGAATCTCCCTTCTAACTCGGCCAATCAGTCAACTACCTACATCCATCCAAGGTATGGTCCCGAGATATTCGGCATTGACTTGAGGACTTGTATGCGTATCTAGCAGGTATCCTCCTTATTCCTACCCATGGCCCTACCCATCTGGGTGTCTCTTCCTTTGGACACCCGCTAGTAAATAACCCCTAAAGGCTGGTATACTCAAATTCAGGTATGGATTATAACAAATATACCACACATATCGAACTTGATGTGATATCCATACTATCCTTGTAGAGACCATTTGAGTAGGCGACTGGATGCGGAATGTGTAATTTTGAGGTAGGAGCGTGGTGAGGTCTTCCTTTGCAACAACTTTGGCCGCAAACACCATATTCTTTTTCTTAAACCTCCCACGACGCCCATCACCACAGAATTATCCATTGACCCCATAACCTATACACCATCTAGGGATCCTTCTGGTCGCATATTATTTGGGTACCCCATCCCCGGCATCTAAATAAATTCTAAGGTCACATTGAAAACTTATGGCAAGAGAGTGGCGACGTTTTGCTTCTTGAAAACATTCTGATAGCAAATACCTCAGCTTTGTTTTCAACTCTCATAATAACTTTTCCCTCCAAACCTCACAAAAAAACCCTCCTCTATCACCTCCCACCTCTATCACCCCGAGAATCTCCTTCAACATCATTACCCTCATACCTATCTTGAGGATCCCCCTGATCATATTTGACACGGATATCCCATCCCCATCAACTAGAATTTCACGGCTCACCCTGGCCTGATCCGAGGAAGCTCTGAGTGATTCAGAAACCCATACTTCCGCAACCTCTCAGAAAGTCGCTTTTGCACACCAAGTTCCTGCCTTTTTGGGTGTGACCTCGTGGAGTACGCGCTTTATTTGAACTCAACGAAGTCCGATACACGTCGCCTGATTTTTCAGACTACCTCCTCTACCCTCGTTTACAACGACACAAGGATACGGGGATAGTGAATCATATATCCCCTCTTTCATCCCCCAGATACCATTGCAACTTCACTTACTATCGCCGTTCCACGGGATATACACACTCGGCAAGTATCGGCTTGATATCGTGTTCATTCAGCGCCACTGCGATCAACCTCTATTCGATCACCCACCATGGAGTTCACGACGCCTTCCCAGACTGCGGGTTTGAAGAAGAGGAAGATGGGTCAATTTAATGAACTAGGCTCGAAACACAATGAATCCAAGGATACACCCCATAACGAGAAGGTTGCCAGAGAGCTATCCGATCAAGAAGTTGATCAGCCCGATCCCATTACAGCTCACATTGAAAACCTGTTCAAAGACAGTTCACCCATCACGGCCCATGCTCATCGCAATGGCAAGCCACTAGTGTTGCATACGGATGCTAATGAGACCACTGACAAACCGGGAGCCAAGTCAAGCATTGGGCATACCGCTCATAGGCCAGCGGGAAGCACAATGACCTCCTCCAAGACAATCGACAATTGGAAGCGAAACTCTCGTCGATTCCGGCCCATTCTCCTCTCGATACTCTTTCCCCTTGAGGACGTCTTTAGCCCTTTGCGGCGCAAATGGCTGTATACACATCAGACGGGACAATACAAGAGGCCATCCGACGTGGAGGTATACCCTCTAATGGCATCACGATAGGTGTGGATAAGAATGGATTTATCAAGCTTGAGGGTATCCCGGGTGAGAAGAAGTCCGAGCAAGCCTCCAGTGCCGGATTGATCGATGGGGGTGATGACGAGGACGAGGAGGATGACGATATTGAGGTTATTGACGAGTGAGCACCATTGGGTCGGGGACCTTTAACAAATCGTAACTCGGTTGCTCATGCTATAGATGCCATCCAGAATTTTCAACGACAATTTGCTACCCCCTTGGTTTTTGGAGTTATGGATATATTACCCTGCACAGACTCTTCCTCTTGGGTGATGAATATCACCCCCCACTACACTCTCATTGAGCTTCAAGGTGATGGATATCATCATTTCACTGCAGCGATAATGGCTTTTCTTATAATCCTAATGGAATAGGTCGCCAATGTGGGGGATATAGCGTTGAGATCTAGTCTGGTTGTGAGGGCTATACCGATCACCAATGCTGCTTAAGCTACCTAACACATAGAGTTAGCAACAATCAATATCTTTTTTCCTATGATACCCCCTCTAAATGTGAATGATAAGACGTTTTCGACATTACACACTCGATGTGTGCCACTGTCGGGTATCCCCCAGTGTGGTAAAATAGAATGGCAATGGGGTGATGGTAGAAACAACTGAAGGGTAACAGGGGATGCACCCATATGCTACCTAGGTATGATGGGACTTATAGTACTAGAATATGATCTTGTTTTGACAGGTAGGTATTGCTACAGCAAAGAGCCCGTAGCAAGTTATTTTGGAACTGGCGGTATAGGCTGGTCTCACATTTAATCTCATTATCCCTTTGTAACAGCTACTAGATATATAACCCTCTTGTTTTCTATATCTATCTAAGGCAATGGATACTTATGAGATCCAACAAACCATGACGACCTATCTAAGTAATAAATCAGTTACCTGGGGCATCTGCTCACCAACAACATCGGAAATATGTAACAACATGTAGCTAAATATTGTGGTAATAAACAGTACACTCGATTTTAGCCGTGACAAACTATGTAGTAAAAAGGTAATAGACTCTACTATAGTAGCAGTCACTAAGAAATAAGTGATTAACCATTCATTCCCTACATACCGTGTTCCCTGAGTGGTGGGGATGCCTGCCGTGAAGTCACATGGTGATAAGCATTTAGCCTACCTGCCAGATAAGCCAGAATATTGCTGGTAATCCTGAAGGAGCACGCGCCGACTCTGGTGTCATCTTCTTGCGAAAGGGAGATTGCTTCTTCAAGGAAAGACGACGACAATCCACAATGATTGTGGCCGAGAAAGTCTACATCTGCAAATAACACAGTACACGAATTCTTCGACACGTGCATTTGCAGGGCAACGGGCTCTCGTCTCGTCTGCCATTTACGTTCGCAATGCCGACCCCCAACGTCTCCAGCTTCAGCACTCTTCGCGCCAGATCCTATGTATTTCGATTGCCTCTTTTCACACGCGCAATCATTCTAGTTATTGTGCTTTTCTGGATTCTAGATTTGCAATCGGTCTGGGACATAAGAGAATGGGGAGCGCTGATTCCGGATAAGACCGGAATCACCACATGTTAGTTTTTCTGTCCAACCTTCAAGTGCAAAAGAGAAGCCTTTCTTACTCCTGACATGGCCATGATATGGGCGGTACTGACTTGCGAAATACCTTCTTAGTGTACCGGACGAATACATTCCCTCTCATCCACACCAACTTCTTCCATCTCTTGATGAATGTCCTTGCTCTAACACCTCTTCTGGAGCGCTTCGAATCAGAATATGGCACGCTGACAACTCTGGCGCTCTTTTTGGGGCGTGAGTATAATTCCGAATTGCAAAAAAGGAAGGGTCTGGTTGATTGATGTGGTTACAGCGCTTACGCAAATACCGGCTTTCGTATACTTGTTCTTCGAAAAGTTCATTTTACATAGCAACACGGCTGTGATGGGTTCGAGGTAAGTGTATCACCTGAAAAGCAGAGAGGACTCTTTTACCACAACTTAAATGGAAAGATGGCTGATGAATTTGTTGTCACAGTATATGGTTTTTCCTCCTGCTTGGCATGGAGGCGATTCGTACATACAGAACGAACCCGCACTTTGAACTGGGCCCATACCGGATTCCCACATGGACAACACCGTTGGCCCTTGTATTATTTGTCGCGGCTCTTGTTCCAAGCACGAGCTTGCTGGGCCATTTGTGTGGCTTGGGAACTGGCTATTTGTGTTCGTGGACTCCAAGACCAATGCCAAGTATGGTTTTTGCTGACTTGAAGTGTTATTTAGGCGGCCTCGGCTACATGAAGTTCCTGTCACCCCCGGAGAAGGTATTGCGCTGGTTAGAGGCCCGCCTCAAGCTTTTACAGCGCCTACCGCATTATGTCAGTGTCGATCAGAAGACCTACGGCCGATTTGGTGTTCTTCCCAGCGCAGGCAGCTCATCAGGAGCACCAATTGGTCTTGTAGGCTCAACGCAGAGGCTAGGCCCGTAAATCCAAGTGTTCGCAAAGGAACATAGGGAATCGGTTCATTGTATGTATATAGCTTATGTCTATGATGGCAGGTGTCTGAAGTGACATCTTGTAGGACTATTTCGAGGGCTAGCCAGGGAATAAGAGCTGGTGCATGGTGTTTCGTAACTAAAAGGAGCGGTCCTCTGTATCTGTTTTAATACTAGAATATTTATCGACAATTAATCATGCTATATTCTTGACTTTTATGAAATGAATGTTTACTTGGTAATGTGAAAGGTTCAAAACCTAAGGGTTCAGCTAGAGCTGTTGCACCTATCAAATTATGTCATCAGGGGTCCGGTGTTAATTGAGCTTCAGCAGTTAATTCTAAGGCCAACGTAGCTCTTCCTGCAGCAATCGCTCCGCACCCGCACTTAGGAGCATCGCTGCTTCAGAATGCCGCGTCTTCTCTGTAAGTATAGCCCTTTGTTAATTACTTTCTCGCTTTGAACCCTCAGGACTGGAGCCTTTCGAAAGACTGACACGCTCCAACCGTAGCTTCCGCGCTCCGCCTACGGCGCGACCCGCGAATCCTCAAGCTCCCGCCGTACATCTCGCTTCTGTGCATTGTAGTCGGCGTCGCATGGCTCCTCCTCCTGCCCCTCAACGAGTACTCGAGACGAACCTATATCTCTGAAAACGCGCTTCTTCCGGGCCAGGTGCACACGTACTTTGGCGGAAGCGATCAGAATGTCTTTCGCGCCTACAAGCATGAAGTTAATGCGCTGGTGGACAAGGACAATCTTGAGTGTGTTCCCCAAGGCAGAGACGGTGCATTGAGGCTATATGCTGACGGAACTGCGATTACAGGGTCAACGACAAGCTTGAGAGCATCTTCAAGGGTGTTGGGCTAAAGGTCGGTCGGCAGAACTTCACTTACACTTCCGCGGGGGACACGTATGCCGGAGAGAATGTCTATGCTATCCTGCAGGCGCCCCGCGGCGATGCCACCGAGGCAATCGTGCTCGTAGCAGCATGGAAGAATGTCAAGGAAGAGCTGAATAAGAACGGGGTAGCTCTTCTCTTGACCTTGTCCCGATATTTCCGACGTACGTAGCTCCTAGGTTTCGATATCCAAGCATCAGTGCGCTAACAGAGGGGTACAGGATGGTCACTCTGGTCCAAGGATATCATTTTTATTGTCACGCCGGATAGTTTAGCTGGGCCACAAGCTTGGGTTGATGCTTACCATGACTCTCACGACTCTTCCCGCGTCGATGCTTTACCTCTCAAGTCAGGAGCATTACAAGGTGCTATTGCGATCGACTATGTCCAGGAGAACAGATTCGAATCCGTACATATCGTCTACGATGGGATCAATGGCCAACTACCGAATCTGGATCTGATAAATAGCGTTGTAAGCATTGCGAGTGGGCAGATGGGCATCGGCACTGCGATCCAGGAGATGTGGCGGCATAGCGACAAATATGAGGATCGACTGAAGACCATGCTCAGGGGCATGCTGAAGCAGGGACTGGGTTTGGCATCTGGTCCGCACAGCAGTTTCATCCCATATCACGTCGACGCTGTCACTCTACAGCCGTTTGGCGAGGGATGGCAGGACGAGATGGCCATGGGACGGGTGATCGAAGGCACCTTCAGAAGTCTGAACAACCTGCTTGAACACCTTCACCAGAGTTTTTTCTTCTACCTGCTCATGCACAAGGAACGGTTCGTCAGCATTGGAACCTACCTCCCAAGCGCTATGGCCATAGCTGCCAATTTCACAATCGTCTCTATTGCTCTGTGGGTTGGAAGTGGCATGCGGACTGAGTCTACCCCTGACACAGCGTCCAAAGAGGCCAAAGACCTGAAGGCAGAGGACGCAACGGCTGCACCATCTGCGGTGGAAAGGCACTTCTTCCTGCCTCTGGGAGTGGTTGCAGCTTGCCAGTTTCTGGGCGTCTTACCTCTCTACCTCTTCAACCACCTGCCAGCAAGAGTACGTCCTCTCCACAATCATTAGTTTGCTATACCGTGCTAATTCTCGTCTAGACTCTGACACCGACATTCTTCGCGTTTGGCCTCGTGAACCTTGGCCTACCTACCGTCCTCTCCTCTCTTCTGATGACGTACTACAAGCCGTCAGCCCAGCAATACACCCTGATACAGTCATTCTCACTCCTATTGCTTGGGATGTTTCTCTCATTCCTCGCTACACTGAACTTTTCGCTGGCATTCCTGGTCGGCCTCCTCGCTAGTCCTTTGACTTTCATGCGACCTTTTGGCCATAACCGAGCGTTAACGAGCATATTCACTATCCTACTAAACCTTATCTCGCCTCCGGCGATTTTGGAGCTATGCTCTTTACTCTTTGGCCTTAGTGTTGGAGATGTGCTCAAACAGGCTGCATTTGCATGGGATGTCTGGGGCATGTACACGCCGATCGTGGTTTGGTGTGTATGGTGGCCAGCATGGCTGGTGGGCTCAGTGCTGGTCCTAGGACAGCCAGGCAGCTCGAAGGCGAAAACAGCATGATATTAAGCATGCACCGTGTATAATAGCTAAGGGTAGGTTGGTCATTGTATTGCATCATGCATGGAGTTACGGTCAACCAAAGAAAAGTACCAATGGCATTGCTAATTTATTTGCTTCGTGGCTCCTTTTTGACCTGATCTCATGTCTTGTCTAAAATGTCTTAATGATACACGGGTTGCATGTCCCGAATCTTCTTCCACCACTCCTCCGAGCACTACTGACCGTCATATCGTAACATCTACGCCGCCCAGACATCCTGGCCCACGCCTTCGATCCAGTTGCCCAGCTGGTTGACGCTGGTATCCCAGTCCTTTAATCGCTGGCGCATGTTGTCGATCTGCTTCATGTCTAGCACCTTGGGCTGCACCCAGTTGATGTGCGCCACCTCGTCCACCTGGTCGATTGTGCCTCTCAAGAGGCCCAGGCTTAGCGCCTTCATGATCAGGTGCTCGATCTCATCGGGCTTGACCTTGGTCTCCGCAGCAATCGTGTCGAATGTCATGGCGCGGTCGTGGGGCGGGCGGCGGAACACGGCTTCTGTGAGCGCTGCCAGGTAGATCTTCTGTCGCAACTGGTTGCTGTGCTTAGCGAGCAACGGGTTGGAGGAGATGTGGCCTGAGAGGACGTCGTAGGCAGCTAGGTCGCCCCGGTTGAAGGCGAAGAGCAGCTCGCGCAGCCAGTTGTCTTCCTTCTGGGTTGTGAGGGCATCGAGGATAGGGTGGAGAAGCAGTTCGCCGAAGTTGTAGATGCTAGTTGATACGAGTGCTGCAATGCTGAGATCGTATGCCCTTGAGCGGCGCTCGGCCGGGCTGAGAGAGTACAGGTCGATACAGGCGAGGTAGAGGAGGGCGTTGCGGTAATAGGAGGCGAAATCCATCTTCGCTTGGTAGTAGTCGGCGTTGGCATTGTAGAAAGCAGCGTTTACTGTGTTGTCGATTGAGTCGAAGGTGTCAAGGATGGTCTCGGCCCTGTCAAGCTCTTTCCTTGTGCCATCCAGGTCCCCAATCTCAAGCTTGACCCGCGCCACTGCAACTATGGCAAATACCAGGGCATCTTGTGAATCTTCGTTGTCAACCTTCTTGACTACTGCCTCGGTGAACGAGAGACGCTCCTGTAGGTCTAAGGTTTGAGGTCAGTCAAGTACGTCAGAGACGTTGTGTCAGCAGCATTACCTTTGCATTGTGAAGCAGCCTTGAGGGCCAGGTCGACAAGCTTCAGCTGATTAATCTTGTCGGCGAATTTCAGAATGAAGACTTTGTAGAACTCTAGCCGTTGTGGTGCGCTTCCTGGGTTGTTGAAGAACTCGACCAGGGCATCGGTCAGCTGGTGCCATAACTTACGCTCCCACAAATCCTCAAACTGTAGGATGAGAGGCTGAAGCTCCTCGGGAGCTGCATCCCGCTGGTCGGCGAGGAAGTCTGAGATCGTATCTACATTCATATTTGAGATGTAGAGACGCTGACCAAGAAAATCGTATTCTGTGAAGAAGGCTTGGGTTGAGGCCGTGTGATTTCGATTTCGGGATGCGATGCGAGTCGATATGGTCCTTAATCAGAGCTGGAGAGTTGGTGTTGGAGCTTCCCTTAGCTAGAGGCTCGTTTGACGCGGCTGGAAAGCAGCCTGGCCACCAGCGCACGGAACAGCTTTCTCTCCCGCCGCCGACGTACTCACGTGACCACCCGGCTCCCGGCAGGTCAGTGCGCAAACCACCTCTGGAGCTTCAAGCCGAGCTTGACCACAGCCATTGCCGACCTCAATTGAACCAGCGACGCCCCCTGGCCATCTCGACTGCAGCAAAGATGGCTTCTTTCCCGGCTGCAGCGCGGTCAACGCAGAAGCTTGCCCAGAAAGTGCTGCAGACTCGGCCACTCTCTGACGTTGCGATTACCCGAACCGGCAAACCGATCATTCGTGTTCAAGGTGGACGGTACGTTCTTCACTCTGTATCATAACTCAATCTTTGTCTAATCACAATCTCTAGGTCCTCTCTTGGCGGTACGGTCGATCATCTCGCAAGTCAATTGGGTTTTGAAGGGTTCTAAACATGAGTTACAGGTCACACAGCGACTGTATTTGGCGCAACCGGTGCCCTTGGAAGATATATCGTCAACCGACTAGGTGCGGATCAATCGAGCTTTGATGGTGGAGGGTCATGCTTACGGATATATCACAGCGCGACAAGGATGTCAGGTTGTGGTGCCTTACCGGGAGGAGATGGCAAAGCGCCATCTCAAGGTCACAGGTGATCTCGGCAGAGTCGTCTTCATTGTATGTGTTCGACCAACCATTGCTCCAGGCGAGCGCTCATATGGTATTAGGAATACGATTTACGAAACACCCAGTCGATCGAAGAGGCCGTTCGCCATTCTGATGTTGTCTACAACCTGGTTGGCCGAAACTATCCCACCAAGTATGCACGGCACAATGAATTTTGATGAAGAAATCGTCGTTAATATACTTCTTAGGAACTTCTCCCTCGAGGATGTCCACGTTGAGGGTACTGAGCGGATTGCCGAAGCCGTGGCTAAGTACGACGTGGATCGCTTCATTCATGTCTCTTCTTACAATGCTGATCCTACATCCACCTCCGATTTCTTTGCTACGAAGGTATTTTACGAATATCATAAAGCGCCGTACTTCTTTTGCTAATAATTCTAGGGTCGGGGTGAGCAAATTGTGAGGAGTATCTATCCCGAGACTACCATTGTGCGACCGGCGCCGATGTTTGGTTTCGAGGATAATCTCCTCATTAGGTTGGCTGGTGTTTACAACCTCTTCACCTCCAACAACATGGAGGAGAGATATTGGCCAGTCCACGTAAGTTTTAACTCATAGTCTAGGACGCAAAACTCGGAAGCTGATTACTCAGGTTATCGATGTTGGTCAAGCCCTGGAACTGATGCTGTACGACGACAATACGGCATCTCAGACATACGAACTCTATGGTCCCAAGAACTACTCAACAGCGGAGATTGCTGAGCTTGTAGATCGTGAGATCTTCAAGAAGCGCAGGCACATCAACGTTCCGAAGTCTGTTCTCAAGCCAGCTGCAACTCTTCTCAACAAGTTGTTGTGGTGGCCCGTCCTGTCGGGCGAAGACGTCGAGAGGGAGTTCCACGACCAGATTATTGACGAAACCGCCAAGACTTTCAAGGATCTCGGTATTGAGCCTGGCGACATCAGCAAATTCACATACCACTACCTGGTAAGTCTCATGAAAGTCAATTGCTGATAAAATACTGACCGTCTTACAGCAAGGATACCGAAGCTCAGCATACTACGATCTGCCGCCAGCAACAGAGAAGGAGAAGAGGGAGGAGAGGCAATACATCCACGTGTTGGACGATCAATGATGCAGACAATTGCCGCCTTGGGATAGGCACTTGATTGCTCCAGTAGAGTGTATATACTGTAACTACTTTATTTTCCTAGAAGAGAAATCAGAGGGTCTTAAAGAGGCTTGAGTAGCATTAATGATTGTGTGTTGCATCTTGTTGCCTTTCGCTACGTTGATGTGTTGTATGTTTCGCCAGACGAGAGATGCGAGTCAACGATCCCGCTGGACGGTAAGTGAGAACCTAAGAATTTCGTGAAAATTATTCGGCCCAATTCCACTCAAACTATCGCAACCAGATATTCGCAACACGTCGAATAATCTTTGAGATCCTATCAATAGCGAGCTTCATCATCTGTCATCTAATATTTGCTGTCAAGAAAATCAATTATTTCCCAGACATGGCGGAGGAGGACGATGAGCCCATGTAGGCTTAAAGTTATGCATGCTTCAGAAGCTAGAGGCTAATGCATCGCCACAGCACCTTGTCATCCCATGCGCTTGACGCTTTGAAAGACTTTTACGCAGACCGAGATGCACGAGCCAAGCAGTTTGAGGAGCTGAAAGCTGTATCGGAGGAGGAGGCTTCAGGCAGGGCTCAGCAGCCGCTGTCCATGGAAGCGTTCACGGAAGACTGGAATGAATCTCAATTTTGGGTACGAAATGAAGAGCTCTCTCGCCCAGAGTGACACTTAATACTTGGTGGCTGACCGGATGTTCAAGTACTCAGAAGAAACGGCCAATCTTCTTGCGCGGGAGCTGCTCGATGGTGCAACCGAAGAGACGACCATCGCCGTCGTTTCTGCACCGAGTGTTTTCGTTGCGCTGAAAAACATTCTTGTACGTCTACTCATTTCTTATCCATAACTAAACGGAATGAGTCAAGTAGCAACTGATATGGGTCCCCCCAGGCATCAGCAGGACCAGATCAACCGAAGCCTAAGTTGACTCTACTCGAGCATGACAACAGGTTCGCCGTGTTCCCAGAGTTCGTCTTCTATGACTTCATGCAGCCCGTAAAGCTTCCAGGTATGACCTCCACTCATCTTGGTCGTGATTATTCGACGCTGATTGTCCCTGGTAGCAAGTTTGAAGGGCTCAATAGATCGCATCATCTGTGATCCTCCATTTCTAAGTGAGGACTGCCAAACGAAAGGTAGGCAACACCTTGCCATTCGGAGACTGTATGAGCACGACTAGAACTGATTTATAATACAGCTGCACTGACGGTCCGTTGGATGTCGAAACCAGCCAGTGAAGTGCCAGTCGGCCAAAGAATAATTGTGTGCACGGGCGAGCGCATGGAGACACTCATCACAAAGCTATACAAGCCGTTCGGAGTGAAGACGACAAGCTACGAACCGGTGCATGCTAGGGGCCTGAGCAACGAGTTCTACTGCTACGCCAGCTTCGAGTGCGATCAGTGGAAATGGAGAGCAGGTCAACAGTAACAGGCCTCCAAGGCGAGGAATGATATTCTAAATGTTATCGGTATTCATGTTAAGAGCCCTATCTGACAAATGCCGTTTTTCTTCTTTACATAACGCTGAATTTGCGACAAATGCCGTCCGTACACGCCAAGTTTCTCCAACCGACAGATGCATTTTTAATAAGACACGGTCCAACGTGCCTCGGCCGATGATGTCTTGTGAATTGGTTAAGGGGTTGAGTTATGTGATGATTCCATCTGCAACTCTCCTGCCTCCGGACTCTATGCCAGTGACCGGATGATGTAGAAGAGAAGATACGCCCGCGCTCCCAGCACATCAGACTTTGATGCCAGCTCGACTCGATGGTCGTTGAACGCGAACCACTTTTGAACAGTTAACATAGGATTCTTCTGGGCAGAGAGTGTTCCTGAGCTTACCTGGTCGCCAACTCTACAATACGAAACGTAATGGCCGGTGTCGATCTCTCCTACATGCACCACAACACTGAGGAGATCATACGTGCAGGACCTCGCCAGCTCAATGTTCTCCTTCGCATCGTGGCCTCTAGAACGATTCGTATACGGGAGCATATTGAGTTGAAGGGGGAAATGCACGGGTGTGTCAATTTTTGCGGCAGCATCGCGCCGGCCTTGCTTGAATTCGAACCGCTGTGATTGAATTAGTATTGTGCGTCTTTGAAATGGATCATAATAAGAATTATGCCTACCTTGAGCTGAATTGAGAGTACATTCGGGAGGCGCTTGATGGTGGTGTGTCGACGTGCTTGCTGTGGAGAGTTGCAGTTGTGGCACCGATATTCGCACTTGTCTGACTTGATATATTCCTCGTCAAGACATTCCTGCAAGGTTAGTCCAGGAATCTTGCCGCCCTTCTTGCCACGCTTTTGTGCCAGATTTTCCAATCCAAGACTGAGGTCCAAGAAGGACTGGACCTGGTTGGTCACACCATTGCAGTGCTGGCACGTAGTTGTAGTCTGTAGCTTGCCGTAGAAGGTCTGATGAATGATGCAGTTGCAGCTGTGCTCACTGCCGGTCTCCGGCTTCTTTCCATCCCCGTTCTTTTCGTGAAGCTCTTCCGCCAAGAACTGGAAGAACTCATGTGCATCTTGCTCCTTTGTCGTCACCAGGTTCTCGAAAGCTTTCTTCTCAGACACCCAGAATCCGGAAAGGATATTTGCAGCTGTATAGCCGTTTGTGTTCTCTGCAGCGTAGAAGTCTTGAAACATGTCGTCCATCGCACAGCTGAGGCACTGCTCCTCTTTACAGTCAGAGCTCTGGTGACCATCACTAAGGTAGAAGTTGCGTAATAAGGGGTTGTGCAGGAAACTCTGCAGGACGACGTTCTGATAGCATGTGGCACCGGCATTGTAGATGCCGCGCAGGCCATTCGCCCGGCACGATGCTGTTGTGGTGTTGGAAGAAATGTAGCGCGGGTCCTCTTTTACAGTATCTGCGAAAAGTTCATCATGCTTCCTCTTGCGGCCTGTCTGTATGTCAGTATTATAAATTGGGGCACCAGTTACATGTCTGATGCATACTTGAGAATGATCCGGTTCCAATCTTCCGCACTCGAAGATCTTCGAGCGTTGGGTCCCAAACGAAATCATCACACATCTGGCAGTAAAGAGCACCGCTCCGAGAGTCGACATCTAGAGAGTATTAGATCATTGTACCGGCTGGAAACCGCATGGATTCACAACGTACAAAATCTGTGCATCTTCTTATTTCCATGCTTTAGACGTTCCTCCTCGGTGACTGTAGACGGGCATTGTAGGCACAGGTAATTGGATGTGAGGGTGGTGATGGCATTGCCGTCGGAGCTCTTGGAAGTCTGGGGGACAATTGGAATGCTGTCGAATATGCCTCGTAGGATCATCTTGTAGTGCGCAACGCTCGTGTTGGTCACTTCCTGGGTCTGGCTGAGGAGGCGCTGCACATGTTCTGCAAGCAGGTTAGAGGCGGTTCCGCCCAAGCGGACAAAGCGAGGCAAACTGACCACAGCCAAAGACCGGTGTGCCTGGCGTCGGAGACCTGATCTTGACATTCTTCGGCGACGCAGGGGTAGAGGGACGGGCCGCCATCTTCTGTAATATGGCTCACAAGCCCTTCAGGTGGCTTCGTCAAGCTCGTGGTGTTGCTGTGATGGGCCAAGGTTGCAGGCGGCTTTGATCGACGGGTTGAACCGTGCAGGAATTATGCGGTAAACGGTCGGAGCCAGACGTCGATTATTTGAAGAGTCTCTGTAGATAGAAACCGGCGAATCTTCAAGAAATATCGAGTAATTGCTCGAGGTGGTCTTATGGCAGACAGCGTGTAATTCGATGTAGCTTGGGAATGAGAGACACCCTCTTCTGGGGGTGAAGGGTCTCGTGCGTGTGTGCGAGGCTGGGGTCTGGGCCTGGAAAGCACTTAGATTAGCATCAATCGGCTGAACAAGGAGGAGACAGAAGTGCAGAGAAGAGTCTCACGGTCACTATACCGAAGCTGAGGAGAGATTGGGGCTATTCTGAGTCTTGGGAGCTGCAGGGCGTCAGTCGGTAATCCAGCATCCAGCTCGGCTCAGCGAACGGCGAGGTTGCGAAATTCCTTATCGGGGCGTTCTCACCAAAGCTTATCGATCAGTAGTACAGTAGCGGCCGGACGGTAATTTCCAGGACCCCCTTACTAGGTATGCAGTAAGCTTCCCGCTCGCCCTGGTTTCTCAGCGGCCGGATTACCTACACAAGCCCACTAACGCAGCGCCTGGACGGGACGGCTAGCCTCTAATTAGCACACTGACAGCCCGGATCACCTCATGCACTTCAGCCTCGGTAGCGCAGATGCACGACCCCTCAGCCCCGCTGTCTGTCAATCGAAGAGCCCTCCCTCGTCCTGCTCCTACTGAGGTGAAGTTCACATGCTCTCTGACGAACCACAGGAAGCGTATTAATATCACTTTGTCCACATACATCCCACAGCAGAAAGAAGGCGAATATCAGATAGATTGGCAGAGTGCAATCGTGTATCTGCAGGCCTCGGAAAGTCTGTGTCGCCTCTTGATACGCAGACTTAGACCTTATTTCTGGGGTGCATCACGGCGGGGGCCGCGTGGGACTTATAACCACTTACTTACCTTACCCCGAATGCGAATAGCCTCACTTTCGGCAGCAAGGATGGCCATTCAGCTCGTGCACCTTCCCGAGGTTGAACGCCTCAGTCCAGCTTGCATCCGCATTCTGGGCGGCAACCCTGGCAAATTCACCCTGCAGGGCACCAATACATACATCCTCGGTACTGGCTCCAAGAGGCTGCTCATAGACACCGGTGAGGGGAAGCCTTCGTGGATAGCAGCTATCAAGAAGACTTTGGAAGAAGAGAAGGCTTCTATCGCAAGCTCACTGATCAGCCATTGGCATCATGACCATGTCGGCGGTATCAGCCAGCTCCTGGACATATCACCAGAGACGAAGATCTACAAAAACGAGCCAGAGAGCGGCCAGTCGGAAATATCAGATGGCCAGAATTTCAAGGTTGACGGAGCAAGCCTGACCGCATTCCACACTCCCGGGCATACGGTCGACCATATGGTCTTTGTATTTGAGGAGGAAGACGCAATGTTCACTGCAGACAATGTCCTTGGCCAAGGTACAGCTGTTTTCGAGGATTTGCATACCTATCTTGCCAGCTTGGCGCAGATGAAGAAGCTCTTCAAGGGGAAAGCGTACCCAGGTCACGGCCCAGTAATAGACGATGGGCCAGCAAAAATACAGGAGTACATCATGCATCGACAACAACGCGAGAACCAAGTACTCGAGACGTTACGTTCGCCTAATGCAAGCAGCGAGGAAGGTGCTGCGTGGGCGCCAATGGAGCTGGTCAAGGTCATATATGCGGATGTACCCGAAAGTCTGCACCTGCCAGCTCAAGGAGGCGTGATACAGATACTCAAGAAGCTAGAAAAGGAAGGCAAGGTGTCGCAAGAGGGAGGGAGGTGGAGACTCAAGGATAGATCTACTCTATAACTCGGTTGGAAGCAAATACTGTGATGTTGCTGACAACGCAAGCTGCCGAACTGGTTCAGCCCTATACTCAGCTTGCATCCTCTCATATGTTGGTAGTCGCCTTGATTGCCTTAATTGGGTCTTGGGGCCGTCATTTGGCCGTCATCGTGACGTCAATTCCAGAAAGTGACCGCAGAGCCTCAATTATCTGTATCAGAGTATATATCCACCTGTTGACGCATATCTGAGAAACATTCAATGCACAATATTCTAATCGATGTAGTTGACACCGACACACAGGACAAGTAGATCTCATCTTCACAGTCATGGGGTTTCCGACTTGCCGGAAGACCTCTTCCAATGGCGCCCGCGGCGGACCGATGGCCACAGCCAATACGGACGCCGGAAGCTTCGGGAATCGCGATCATGTGGGCTTCGCCGAATGAATCTTTTGGTAAGAATTTTTTCTGTTGGTTGGCTAGGCGTGTATTAATTAGTTGTATTAGTCGATTAGTAAGAACGACTTTGTCCAGACAGCTGTCTCCACGACGGCCATCAAACCAGTCACACCTATTCCTGCGGGATTCAAGTCAGCAGGACTACTTCACGGGCACTGTATCCACTTATTCGGCGTTTAATATTCTTTTCGAATTTGTTGTATGCGTAGTGTCCGGGGTGGATATCGGGTTCGAGAGACTGGAGTCGAGCACAATATCGTTCAGGCGGGTGCCAAGAAGAGGGTTTGTGAATTTCATAAATTCTGCTCTTCGCCAGGAGACTTGCCGGTGATCCGTGTTTGTGCATCGTTGTGATGGAGGTGCAAAGAGGATCGGAACCGTGCTCGGCCTTCGAATGGCTTCATTGAAGGTAAAATGGGTGGTCGGTAACGGCCGGGGTACATTTCGACCTGGTACGACCTCTGACGGTTGGGAGGTAGGATGTTTTGAGGGATGCAAGTCCAGGTATGGCCTGACAGGGATTTTACGGCATGTAATCCACAGCTCGTTGAACCCCGGCGCCGTGACGGAGAATAAGTCGATGATGACATCCCGAGAGTCCCTTCCATGTAGCTACAGTATTGTAAAGTTACGTGCACTGGAGTGATTTTCTACCGTCCAGACGAGGAGCGAGGTCGATGCTGTTTAGCTCGCTCATGGAATATCACAACTGGTGATCTCTGACTCTGGGCCATTAACACGTTCATAATTCAACTCCTCGCTTCGAAGAATCGTATAAGGGAGTGACAACTCCGGTAAAGGACCCCTCAAGGTGATGATCATCATCAGGGTGGGGTTGGACAACCGCGCAGAAGACCACGCCCTAGCGCAATATCACCAAAAAAAGAGTCATCAGGATGATTAGGTAGGGTGGCATCTAGCGCTCAACCGAGTCTTGTCAGGCGCCAAGTGGTCCCAGCGCCATGCATGAGGTTGGGGTCTGCCGTGAGAAAATGTGCATGGGAACATGGAAGAGTGTTTCGCCAGAGTTTTGCGGTGTGTGTATTGTGTACCTACCTGGCAAGATAGCTAAGAACTCGGTACCTGGACGAAACGGACTGAATCCCACGGACCACAAGCCTATGTCGATAGGATCGTATCCGGGACATGAATGCCGATAAGAAACTCGATATCATGAGTTCAAATAACCAAGTCGATGACATCTTTGAGTCCTTCTGCAAACGGGTTGTGCGGAAGTCAAGAGTCATTTAGAGGGACGGGGAACCTCGGGTGACTAAGACAGTACGGAACCGTTATGTTCGCGATGGGCACAAAGACCATGAAATGATAACCTCCCTGGCTGCACAGAACCATGAGGTGCAGATTGATTTATTGATCTGCTGCTACGCTACTCGCCGTTTTTCGGCCGGCACTTGGAGATGGTTGGAGCACAAGTCGTTGTGATTAGACACGGCGTACTCGAGCTGGCCTTACCTTACCCTACCTTACATAGTATACAGCACAGTACCTCACCCACCCGCCTTGCATCGGCACCCACCTGCCTGTCGATTGATTTAGCGCTGCTACACCGACCTCATCAAATCGCACGATGAGGCTCCGTAAAGCGCGAATGCCTGCGCACTGTGTACCTGCGAATAGCGTCGTCTCGATTCTGACTCCAAGTGTCCCGCCCGGCTGTCAGAGACTCAGCGTCCTCCTCCTGCAGGATCGTACGTTGCTGCCTTTTCACGCAGTCCGACAAGGCCAGCCAGGTGGCAGGAGGTGGCACCGTCCCGAGGAACCCAAATCTCCAAGGTCGCATCTTCAACGTGTAGAAGGGATAGGGATGGAAGAGGTTGCCAGCTTGTATTCCTCTGGGCAACTCATTGCCCTTCTGATCTACATCTGTCTCTTCTGTTTTTGCACTTTCAAAGCAGTGATTGACCCAACATGGCGGGCGAGGGATTTGGTGGTGACCCAAGAAAAGTCCAAGAAGTCCCAAGGCTGACCGCTTCATTTTCGAAACTCTCCGGAGGACCACATATCTCCGCTTGCACTCTCCGATCACCCTCAAGAGAAGAAATCCACACAGGCTAGTAACAGAGCGTATTGGACTAGTGGCATGTTGCGTATGCGCAAAAAAGAATGAAGTGGGAGAGGATCGCGATTTAACCCCAAAAGGGTGCTCCGTTTGCGAGCACCCAGTAATTGCCCTGTGTAAAGGCATGGGCCCATGATCTGCCTTAAGAGACATCCGGGGTAGCTTTGCCGGAGTGGCGGGTACCCATCCCAGCCACGATCCGACGAGGCCGGCCGACCAGCATCTTCTTATGTCCGGCGTTGATCCCGCCTGCACTGCTCTCGGGCGATTGTCGATTGCTCGCAAACGGAGTACCGCTTTTGGGGCCTATCGAGCGACATGACAGATATCCATCTGCCTACACGTGGACTCGGATGCTCCACAGAGACCAACATCTACGGCCTACCACAATAGCCATACACATGCAATGCAGCAAGACGAAACCAGCAGGCTACAGTGGATGGACACGAGGTCACAATCAACATGCGTAAGTCGACACGTACGGTATACGCAGCATGTGCAAGAAACTTGCCCACGAAGCCGGTATTAGTCCATGTACCTGGGGTATTGTGGCGTTGATGGTCCTGCCCGGGCTTCCTTCGACAGCTTGCGCCTTGCAGGTGCAGTCACAGCCTTCCGAGGTCAAGTGTGTGAGTATCGACATGTGTGTAGTACCAGCAGTATGTACACTACTACCTCATCCTCGCCTTGTAGTGTACGCACAGCAAATTCTACCTGTGTAAGCCAATGGATGGCAAGCATGGGATGGGATGGGAGAGAGAGCGTGTAAGTCAGAGTAGGAGGTTCAAGCTCCCCACACAGTGCTGGCGCACCGTCCGGCCTCGCGCCCAAAGCTCGCTGCCGTCTTTCCATTCTTTGTCGACGCCTTCGGAAGCTTCGGATCTTGGCGATTCCATTGTACTCCGTACAGCTTCCATTACCCACAGACAAGCCTGACAAGGCCCCCGAAACATCTACGGAAAAGGCATCGCGCACCATGGTCCAAGGGCCACCTGGTGGTATGACTGATGCGCTGGGCGCGCGCGAGGCGACTGGGACTGACTGACTGACGGGGCAAACCCCGGGTCGCCCTTTTTTTCCTCTTTCGATCAAGAGAGCTTCAATGGAGCTCGAATTACCAATCAGCGCCGCGCCGAAGAGCTTGTCCAGAATGCCGTGCCTACCGTACCGTACCGTCCCCAGCGCAGTTAATAAATATACTATATACAGCTCCCTCGCCGTCCATGATGCCTGGTCTCAGAGTTTGCCCTTCCTCCGTCATCTCGAGAGCTTCTCTCTACCCTCCCGCCCCGGCACACGAAGAAGGTTTGCGACCTCCCTCCGTAATAAATCTAGAGCTCTTTGCGCTTTCCCCTGTAAACTAAACTCGACTCCTTGAGGCGCATTGTCTATTTCCCTGCTTATTTACTTGCCCTCGACCCAAGACAGCAGGGGTCTATTTTGAAATCGGCGCGCGCATACACAGCACTTACACGAGCCCTGGGCGCATCGCATTGGCTAGGCGGAGGAGTAGCGTACCCTCACCCTATATTCTAGCTTCATTCTTGACTTGTATCCTTCTAGCCGGAGTGAATTGGAGCAGCAGATAAAACACCCTGATGGGGCCGACTGCGAGATCAGCATTTTATTTTCTGGCGGGCATTGCGGTTCTGGGACTTGTCCCAGCCGCCCTCGCCCACGGCGATGAGCATGGGGATATGGACATGGATATGGACATGGGCGCGCCTAGCGAGCCAAAGCCCGATTCTGAGTATCCGCCGACTTATTTCGCCCACCCAGAACACACGGGTGCCATCATGACGCACATTGCGCTTATGGTTCTGGGATGGGTTTTTGTTTTGCCAGTTGGTAAGTGTTCATAGCTAACTATGCGTGGCGGTTTTTGCGCGCGTATTTGCTGGCGCATGGGGTGGCGCTGACATGAGTTTTTCTGCCGTAGCTGTAATGCTCTCAATTGCACGCTCGCGGTACACGCTGATGCTGCAATTTGTCTTCCTGGCGGTGAACGGAGCCGGAGTGCTCTTCGGAGTCGTCTACAACACGAACACCCCGGATCTGTACCCGAACAATGCTCACCACAAGCTCGGATGGCTGGTGACGTGGGTGATTTCGGCGCAGGTGGTCGTTGGCCTCGTCGGCCGGGTCGCGGGCGCATTCAGCGGCAAGGACAGCGGCAGGTCGAAAGTGAGCGCCGAACGCCAGGGGTTCATCCCCGTGTCCACGGAGGCCATGGCCGAGCATCTTCGCCTAAACGAATCGCGGGTCTCTGGCCACTTCCGCCGGTCCAATGACAGCGGGCAGGGCACCGAGCCGAACACCGAGTCGCTCCGCAGCCACTCCGTGTCGACCAACGAGGACGAAATCGAGAGCCCGCTGCACGAGGCTCGCAAGGAGTATGCAGACGACGATGATTATCTGGATGTTGACCTCGAGGCAGACGTTCCGGCCGTGTCTCGTGGAGGAGCTGTTCAGGCGTTTGCGAAGAAAGTCGGGGGCTTGATTTCGTCACGAGCATGGAAATTCCTGGTTTTCGGGTACAACTTTGTTGACCGAACAAGTTTGATTCTCGGTTTCATTGCGTTGTGCACAGGCATCATTACGTACGGGCGTTTCTTTGTAAGTGTTGTTTCTGCAGATATTTTGACTGCTGTTGCTAACAAAAAATCCAGGAGGGCCGTGCAATCTTCAATGGTTTGGCGCATTGGATTAAAGGTGGCGTATTCGTCTGGCTAGGTCTCTTCACTCTCGGACGATGGGCAGGAAGCTTTGGCGAGCTCGGCTGGGTACGTAATTCTTGAAAATATCATACAAAAATGATTAATCCCACTAACAAGTTGAAAATAGGCCTGGAATATCCGTCCCAAGACGGCAGGCCAGAAGTGGCGGCCAAGCGCTGAATTCGTGGAGAGTTTTCTGATTTTCTTCTACGGTTCGACAAACATCTTCCTGGAGCATCTCGGCGGTTGGGGTGGAGAGTGGACTCCCACGGACATGGAGCATATTTCTATCACGGTGCTTTTCATCGGTGGCGGAATGGTGAGGAATCGAGTCTTGGATCAATTCATGTTACTCTGATTGCTAATCCTCCCTCAGTGCGGCATGCTCATTGAGTCGATTCGGATCCGCGATTTGCTTAACACAACGGTGACAGAAAGCGCCAACACATATCCAGGTCATGCACACAACGATCAGGACCGCCAAAACTTGGAGGAGCCAGAAACATACCGCTTCTCGATGAATCCGATTCCGGCGCTGGTTATTCTATTGACAGGAATGATGATGAGCTCTCATACACAAGCAAGCATGATTTCCAGCATGGTCCACAAGCAATGGGGCAATTTGCTTGCTGGTGCGTCTTTCGCCCGTGGCTTCACCTATGTCCTCACCTACCTGAAGCCGCCCCGCTCTATCATGCCTTCGCGTCCACCAACTGAGCTCCTGGCTTCCTTTGGTCTGATTTCCGGCGGAATTATTTTTATGGCAAGCGTGAGTGTTTAATCTGGATTTCTTGACTGTTTCGGTGTACTGACACGTTTCTGCAGAGCAGCGACACTGTTGGAGGCATGGAGCATTATGACCTGGACGCTATGTTCATTTACACCGTGACGATGGGTATTGTCGGCCTCCTCATGGCCTGGGAGATAATCGTAATCGCAATCAAGGGATGGGCAGTCCGCAGGGAGGCCGGCTGGCCAGCTCGCGGCTTGTCACGCGTTTGAGGAAGTGGTACAGGACAGATGGAGACCAGTCCGTGGGTGGGCACTTTTGCAGATGAGTCGAGACCTTGGTGCAGCTCGACGACGCATCGAATTCTGGCGTAACCGGCGTGGGACCTAATATCTCCCCACTTGTTTTGCTCTTCTTTCGCTTCTAGTCCATCATCCAGAGATACCCGGATTTCACGAAACAGCATTGGGAAGGAAACGACTGCTTGGAGGCAGGATGACGAAATGGCTCATGTCATGGTAATAGCATGGCTTGCATGATACCCTGTGAGAAAGCAAAAACGCTCTTTTTTGATAGTCGAGAGGATGGAAAAGGAAATCATACATAGTTTAGTCAGGATTATAAAGAAGTTGTTAATGTTTGGATAGTCAGTCTCATGGTTCGTGTGTTAACAGTGCTATGAGGAGTTGCAGAGTCAAGACTGCTGAGTAAGTCATGTGTTATAGAGTCAAGGTTTTCACAACCAACTACTTGCCGTATATATCCCGATGTATAGTCCGACTGGCCATGCAGATTCGAGGTTTACCAATATATAAAATACCGTTCTTAGTGGGTTGTTCGTTCCCTTTGAGGCCTCATGGGCTCGCGAAGTCAGAAAAGAACCTGGAACAGAGAAAGACAAATGACAATGGGTACATACTGATTTCACTGCAAGTAGCGAGTAATAGATTGTTGTAGTAATGGGATGTTGTATAGATTGCCCAGTGTGATCGCCGACGAAGCTGTCTTGTAAGCGTTGAATATCACCAGCTCATCACCATACGCTAATTTCCCTGGATGTGGAGAGAAACCTCGCTCGTGGTACAGTTTCGTTCACAAGGATCCAAGCTAATACTTATTTTCATTTAACAAAGCTATCTCGAGAACCCTACCTACTCCATTCCAACCAGAACCAACATTAGAGGCTGTAATGTCACTATGTCACTAACTGCCAGATTGGCAGTTTTGCTGTTTTCACTGCAATTTTAGTGCTTGGCCGGGTGTACTCGATGTACAAGATCTGCCTCACTATCCGGTGTCATGTTAGACATGCATGTCACATTGAGATCCTAGAAGACGGAAGAAGACTCGTGAATCAGTGGAGTATGCTATGGCGCTATGCTCTCTGATTTTCCCAACTGTTTCTAGTCATGACGCGGGAGGAAATTATTGTAGGTGGGGGAACAGAGGCGGCTTTCTCTGCAAGGAGTAGAAAGACATTTACGAAGAGTATTTGCCCTCGCGTGCTAGAGCTGCCCAGAAACTCCGATATGATTTATATTCATTCGAGCCAAGCCATCCTTCCGCTTCCGATTCGTAGTGCTGTCGTAATCAGCCAATACCGATTTTTGGCCGGGCGAGAGACTCACCACCTGTGACATCGTGGTTCCCATTTCCTTTTTCGAAAACAGCCTTGGCATCGTTCCTTCAGTAGCTCTCCTGCTTCAGGTATGAGGCCATCCACAACTCCAAAATGTGAGCCTCATGACTTGAAAATGTGTTGGGCGCCGTTGGCCAAGCTGGCAACAGCAGAAGCATGCTTGGTGAGCCCGATTAGTCATGCGTCACCGCTTTCAAGGTGGCACGAGCACCATCCTCAGCGTCCAGGAGACTTTGGCGGCTTAAGATGCATGATGGGCCACGGTAAGAATGAAGAGCCCGTCTCTCTCTGGCCCATGTCCTCATCATTGGAGCGACGGAAGTGGAGGCGTTGACTATCATGGCGCCCGCTCACTCCTTCGCATTAGACGGCTCTGCTGTTACTATCCTCCTCTTGTCAGCAGGCGAGAAGGTTGCCGTGCCCTGCTGCAACGCATGAACCAGCAAAGGTAGAGCGTCGGCGCGAAAATCGTCTGCGTTGCGCACCTTGTCCAGGTCGTCTGCAAACTCTTGCGTGGCGCGCTGCAGGTAGTATGAGGTGAAGTCGGCGGCAACCTCCTTGTCGCTTTTCTTGATATAGCCTTGTGAACTCATGGTGAATAGTCTTTCTGTTTCCTTGAATTCGTGTTCTGAAGTAGGTAAGTGCAGGTAATGGCTGATGTCGATGTGGTGTTGGTCAAGGAAGGTCAAAAAAAAGTGAGGTGCTTAATTTTTCTAGTACAGCGGCTAGCGGATTGCACTGACGTTGCACACTGTTGGAGCATCTAAGGTCATATGCAGGCACATTTCCACGACCTTGCCGTACTCATGAAAAACATTCGATTAAATCATGTTCATTGTATATATTATTTTAATATTTCTTTTCACTAATCCACGCCACTGTCGCAACCGTATACGCTCATACTCTACGGATTTTGATAGCTCAGCGACCGCCGTCTCATCCTCTTTAGGGACAACAGCCCGTGAGTACGAAAACTTTAGTGAAAAGGTGATCCACGCTGAGCTGTCCATTGAAGTATCTCCAACCATTTCACTACAGTTCGCCGCCATTTACTCGAAAAAAATTTCAGTTTCGGAGCACAATATCGATAGAGCTGGGCTAGAAGCTTGGATACTGGTGCCAGCTACTTAAAAATTGGTACCGCTAGCATTCTGACTTCTATTCAAGGGCAAGGTGAACGCAAAGGGTTTTGATATAGATCATGACACACTTCAGATGCGGCACACTCTACAGGACCCACCGTCCTTATTCGGTCTGTTGCGCCCAGAAGATTGCTGTGCGTAGGAGACCTGGTGACAGAATAGGTCTAACTTTGCATGCTTCGATGATAGAATATTGGAAGACAGCTACAACTGCGGCTGAGAATACTAGGAAGAGGGGGATAGCAGTCATCTTAATTAGAAGTTTTGGGATTAAGATCCTTAAAAGATCAAGAATGTGAGAGTCATCCTAACTTAACGGTCTGTAATCGAGAACATTGCCTTCTTGCGCGGAAATTTTGATAACATATTGTTTGGCTATCCGTAGAAACTATGTATACATGGACTTGCATTCCTTTTTGATGCGAATGCGAGATGAGAAACTTCGGGGGCAAGTCACGCCTCGTTTGGCAAGTTTCCCACATTGAGAAAAGTGGTTACAACAAGACAGCAGATCTTGCCACGATGGATTCAGACCTCAAGATATACGTTGTAGGACGCAGTCTTGATAGCCGGCGGCTTCCATTAATCACGGACGACTTAAGAGCACTTGCAGCTAAACACTCATGCAAATGAAACCCACGCCGGTGCTTAAGCCCGGAGCGTGCTCTGTTACAATACTCGGCCGGCCGTCAAGTTGCGCCTACGTCCGGAGATTGTGATGCCTCATCTCGGGCAATGGTGGTGGCGCAGACATTCATCTCGGTATCCTGACCGAGGACCGTCAAGCACTTCCATGGACCAAGTTTCGCAATCATCTCCACGTGATGTGATTTCCTGACACGCCATTGAACCGTTCAAGAGTTATGTTACGAGAGCAACTTGTCTCCGTAGAGGGAGGATACAATTGGGCAACTAGGTCAACGTAGGGCTGAGCCGGAGTGTTATATTACCCGATAAGCAGCCTGCTGGAACGCCTTGCCGCGCCGCCTTCTGATGGGCTCAAGGGCCAGGACTTTAGAATTTTCGCGACATCTAGCTGTATTTGGTAGATGCAGCTTCATGGCAGCTCCTCACGGTCACTTTAAGCTTCTGACGAGCCTGACGCTACCGAGACAGCAGGCTTGATATATGATGGTTGCATCTAGAACGCATTGGGCACCGAGTCAACAATGCCACATCTCCATAATGCACTGCCGTGATTCTCTTTAGAGGCTCTTGACATCTTGACAAGACAATCTGCAGACAATCCCTGGGCTCAGAGTCGACAAGGCTCAGCGGACAGAGATTTGGCTATGCGCTAAAAGCGCTAGTGATGCGGGTAGAAAGCGAGCAGTACGGTGCCAAGTGAGATGTCTGGGGACGAATCGTCATTTCCAAGCGCAGCCACAGAGTAACATGAGACAAAGTTCAATCGGGTCACGGCAGTAGCTGGCATCTGCTGGTGCGCCCTACGGTGCGGGATCTACCTGCAACCTCGTTGTATAAGTCCCAATTAGGGATCGCTTGGTCCACCAATTTGGCTCATGAGTGAAGATGCACTGAACCGTGCACCGTATTTCGTGTCGTTACGAGCGGATCCTTGAATTGTGATTGGTCACTGAGCCCCCTTGGTGGCTGGCCGTTGTACCTGCCAACGACGCCCTCGTCGTAAGACATGGACCGAAGGTCTGCATGGAAATTTTATATAAAGATGACGGACGCTCTCAAGCCTTCACCGTGGAAAGAAATACTGTCGAAGTCCTTGTGGGCATGTTCACCTTTTCTCTTGGAGAAGAATTTGACACGTCGAGGCATCTCCCAAGCTTTGTGACATACAAAGCCCACGATATCGAACTTCTGATACCTGAATGAGCGGTTACACCAGCCAGCCTTGCTGACGATGAGCGAAAACGGCAAATATGGTAACATAGTCGCCTCACATATCTGAAGGGAATCGAGTCACTAACTTTGGTCTCAGTGGATGGGAGCCTCTGGTTCTATGCACCCAACAAAGGGGCGCCAGTATTCTTTACGGTAGCCTTTGGTGCATCAGGGCTTTGCCATATCTGGCAATGCATGTAGGTCATGATATTACATGCATGCTATCACCGCTGTTGCTGACGGTTATTATAGCCACTACAAGTGCTGGAAGCTCATGGGCGTTTATACCTTTTGCGCTTTGCTGTTCACCAGCGGTTTCATCCTGAGGGAAATCGGGACATTCAACTATGATAACCTTGACATCTTCCTGAGCAGTACTGTTCTCATATATGCGGCGCCGTAAGTGTATGCCATCGAAGCAAGGCATGAATGACTGCTGACCTGGAGACAGACCTCTCTATGAGCTAGGCAACTACCAGATTCTCGGACGGATTCTCTATTACGTACCTCAGCTCGCACCGATGCATCCTGGCCGCGTCCTGACGACGTTCGCCGCTATATCGGGCATTGTCGAAGCATTGAATGCGAATGGTGCCATCAACGCATCGAATTCGGACTTGCCCATGTCAAGACAGAACATCGGCAAAGCCCTCCTGAAGGCGGCGCTGCTTATCCAGATCGGAGTCATCTTCCTCTTTGTGCTGACAGCTGCCTACTTCCAACGCCAGTGTATCAAGAACGGCATTCGAAATGCCAAGCTCAACGGCGCCTTGTTGACGCTGTACATTAGCAGTGCGCTCATCACGGTCAGGACGATATACCGCATCGTCGAATACTTCAGCCTCGCCAAGCTGCATTTCGAGGAAGGCATGGATCCTATGTCGTTCAGCCCAATCATCAGATACGAATGGTTCTTCTACGTCTTCGAAGCGGTCCTGATGATTTGCAACCAGGTTTTGTGGAATGTTCGTCATCCAAGGCGATACCTCCCGAGCAGCACAAAGGTGTATCTGGCCAAGGACGGCGTTACCGAGATTCTTGGTCCTGGCTATAAGGATGAACGGAACTTTCTCGTCACACTCTTCGACCCATTTGACATCTATGGTCTGATCAAGGGCAGAGACAAGAAGACCCGTTTCTGGGAGAACGAGGCGCCCACCGAGGACGCTTCGAGGAAAGAAAACAACAGGAACGGGGCAGCTCCCGAGTCCACGGTGTGAGCCTTCTCATGACCACTTCCCCCCAGGCGTTCATGAGGAAATGTTATTTCTTTGTTTCTATTTGCGTTCAGATTGGGGTCGAATGCCCGTTTTGGGCCAACGACAAAAGCTAGAATGGAGAGTCAGAAAAGGGATACCCTAATTAGCTTGTGGGCTCTTCATCATGCGCCGCTCGCTTCGCTCTTGTTGATTGCATAGAAAGCTATTTTAGTTAGGAGACTAATTCCAGTGAGCCATCCTTTCGGTGATGAAAACAACTCTCTCGGGACCGATGTTTTGAGAAATGCTTGTGATGGTTGCAGTTGTTTTGTGAAGTGGGGTGTACGTAAATATCCTCCTCGCCAAACGGAGTCCCCGTTGCTCGGGTTTCTGCGCAGCCGAACATGTTAGCTTAGGCAGGCGCCTGCGCCGCGGCGTATATTTGACATGCACAAGATGCAATTGAATTTACCTGGGGCACTTCCCCCAGAGAAGTCAAAGGATCAACCGCCATGATGACGGGCATGGGATGAGATCAGATGAGATAAGAAAAGAAACAGAGCAGGCGGCCGCGCCGCGCTTGGGGCGGCTAGCCACAGCCAGCATCTTGCGGAGGCCCGAAGGCGGCGTAGTGAAGTGTGCCTAGGTAATTTGGCGGCGGGTAAGAGCGCGCTTATTAGGCTGTCAGGATCGCAAAATAGCTGACTGCGAAGGCGGCGCAAGGGTGATAAGGATAAGGATACGCCAGAACAAGGATGAGGCACCGTATCATCGCGGCCTTGGGGGTTTGTCGTGGAGAACGCCCTCGTGGGTAGGTCTTCGCGATGGCGGAGTCTTTTGGCGGAACTTTACTTGTAGATCATGCGCCTTTGGAGTTGAGTTGTTGTTGTAGATGTTGGGGGGCACAGGTGTCGGAAATAGCTACTAGTCGACATTTGCGCTACGATACACCCCTGTGGCTCTGTGGCTTGCGCTGGAGGGCCCACTGAGTATCCGCTGTGCTGGTCTGGGACTCTGGGTGCACTTGCACAACGCCCACGGCGGGTAACAAAGACGCATGATGGACATTGAGTACCTAGTCTAGTGTACATAGGGAGGGATCAATGTAGAAATGGTCGGATAATTCCTTCCTTCCCGCAAGCCACACGTTAATTGTTGAATTGTGCGATGCGCCGTCGCGAGTGCAGCCAAATGCCGGCACCTGGAAATACTGCATAGTAAATAAGGCAGTTCGCTGTCCAGCTGCTTACCAGACGCCAGCCGAGTCCCGTGCATCGCATCGCATCTCGAGAAAGTACCTCGCTCATGATAACTTTGAACACAGTAATAATGTTACGAGATGATGACTGCGCACGAGACCATTCAAGCAGTGAATTGAAGTCGACAAAGAATGACACGCCGGCAGGGCTTAGTCAGTTTGACCGCAGACGCGGGCATGTGCTGCTACTTACACTTACATACATATATACGTATATACATACTAACTAGGTAACTAAGGTATGTGTAAGTGAAGTATCTCAGTCGTGGATACGGCGCAGCGAAGATGACTGCCTCATTGTACGCGGTGAGAGACACAATAGTAGCATCGCAATTTATTTTGCGGTCAGCTCGACTTCGATCTCGTGCGAGTCTCAAGGTACATACATACTGAAAGGATACCAGCTACCTAAGTTAGCTGTGCGTGCATCGAGACTCGAGACTACCTAGGTATTACGCAGTACTATGTAGACGCTCGATCATGCAGTGAGATGGGGGATTTCTGTTTCTGTTTCTGTTTCTGTTTCAACACAGACACATAACGTTCGTGTCCGTCCTCAAACAAAGCCATCAGCCACCAGCCATCTCATCCCCGTCCTGCAGTCAGTGCAGCAGCACATCGTTGCCCTGTTGAAGGCGCAAAGGCAGAGGCAGAGGCAGAGGGCGCCAAACTCTACGCCGCCGTCTCGTCAACAAGGGCTTTTCAAGACCCAAAGTGTGCCAAGGGGCTGCTGGAAGGCCCGAGGTCTGCGGCGCGGATCATGGGCTGGACAGCTGTGCAGGTATTCTGAATATCTGCATCGTAGAATAGAATCCCCACGATGGCCATGATCATGATCATGATCATAATCTGACTGACTGACTTGAATAATTATTTGTTTGCCCGCATCCCCCCAGCCCGTCGGGTTCCCGGGAATTTCTAGTGGATATTTCTGCATACCCAGGCAGGTCCCACCACCTGGCAGCACTAGGTACCCTACCTAACCTGGGTACCCAGTTACACTACCAACGACTCCATCCGCAATCATCACCACTCACTCCCTCGTTCATGCTGCCCACATTTTATGATTCTTACATGCCCCTTGCCAGCGCCAATTTGCCTGTTCCTTGCTCGCTCTTGTCTTGGTCTTGCAAAGAATTGTCCGAATGGGGCCCTCCTGCTCCTGGCCAGGTCCCGCAGCAATACCCAAGTTAGGTGCTGTTGCTGTACCCAGTCTGTCTGTGCCTGGTGCGTGAGGCGGTTGAACCGTTCCATGGGCACAGCCCCGGGGATCACCCATCCTACAGCTCCAAGCCTTCCTTGGGCCTCGTTCCGTCCCAAGCAAGCAAGACTAGCCCATCTCGAACTCCCATCGCGGGTTTCGTACTACCGGTACTCGAATACAATACCTGCAACAAGTGCCTTCTTAGCAGCTTCCTAGGTACGCTTCGGTCCGTGTTGGGGACTTAATTGATGGGCCGCATCTACTACATATCTCATTTGTCTGGATCATCGTCATCGCTCGTCTTCTTGTCACCGTTGGAGGCAAAACAGGACTCTTCAGCACGGTCAGTCAGGAAGCGAGACAGTACGAACATTCCTCGGGGTTCGCATCACCATCACGAAGAGGGCGTGTTGTCTCCTCGTCTCCCGCTTCTCTTTTCTGCGCCATCAACACCGCACCGCACCGCACCGCACCGCTCTGCATCGTGTCGTGGTGGGCGCCTCGCCAGGCCACTGAGTAGACCGGCACACACCCAGGAAAGGACCGAAGCGCACACACACACTCATACGGCTGGAGTAATTCGATCTGCCTTGGAATCTCGCAAGCCTCATCCCAAGGGCATCACGCAGTAATCCCACCCCCGGGGCAGTGCTGTATCTTCCATCAGACACGCTCACATATCAGGCTTCGGTTCTTTCATTAACACACACACACACATACCATACCATATCGCACCCCGCCCGCGATCCCGACCCAATCCGTGTTCGGCGCAATCTACCAAGCACTTACATTTGAGCCACTGCAATCATAGCTTGATTTCCATTCGGCTGCTGCGTCAAGCGTCCTGTATTTTTGGCTAGACCGCTCCTTAGTCCCCCTACTACCACCTGGCTACTCTCCTACCACCAAGGCGGGCCCCCTTCCTTCGTACCGCATAGTACGGCGCGGGTCTAACCCTTTTCCTTCTATATCGGAGCCAACCAACAGTAGCCAGCCAGCACGCACGCACGCACGCACGCACTGGGGGGGAACCACACACTTAACTTATTGTCTCTGGTGCCGCCCGATCTGGATATATCTTGTCTCCTCCAACGACACCCAATGGTGACATATTGGAGGACCGACCCCATCATGGAACGCTCACGGCGAGAAAACATTCACCGGCCCCAGATCTTCGTCAACGTCGAGTTCGGAGTGTCCTGGTCTCCTAACCATGCTCCCCGCCCTCATGGAATCAACTACAGGTCGCGCGCGATGCGGGAGAGGACCTCCAACTTCCCTCGACACGTAGCACCACCAAATACTAACTACCTCGCTCTGCCGTCAACATACTCCCAATATCAGCAGCAGCAACCACCTCAGAATCAGAGCTCTCAGCAGCCCCAGCATCAACCGCAGTATCAACCACCTCAGCAATCATCACGACAACAGCAGCCTCAGCAGGAGCGTCCGCGGCCACAACAGCAGCCGTCACGGGAGAGACACCATCAGGCTCGGCCCCGGCATCTGGAGTTCTTGCAACAGCCAGAGATCTTCCAGGAGAGCCGGCGCTCATCACGTAGTTCCAAGTCGTCCCATGAGCGAGGCCGCTCAGCACCACCGCCTCTGAGTGAAAACAACTGGGATGTCTCATCACCTCTACCGCTTGCCGGCTCATCGACGGCACAGGCTACCGCTTCAAGGGCGCAGCCTGGCGTGTGGAAAGATTTGCCTGAAGTGCCATCACGCTTTCGACTTGGAGAAGACGGCATGCCTTGGTCAGCATGGTCGTGGCCGTTCGATTATGACCCGAACGACGACCTGACTGACCATGCCGGCTCGCTCCACTCCCATTCCAGAGATGCGGATCGGGCAACCAACCGGGAAACGGAAGCGGAGGACGCACCGTTTCTCAACAGCCCTACCGTCGTTGACATACAGTCGCCGCTGGAGGCTCCGCGGTACAGGCAGGAAGATCCAGAAAGAGTTCGTGAGCTGGAAGCCCTAGGACAGGCGATGATGACCATCGACAACGGCTTCGAGGACCAGTGGTGGAACCAGGGCGAGCGCCACGCGGTGCCCGTGACGAGCAACGCGGGCGATCTGATCACCTCCAACCCTAACCAAACACCACCACAGCAGCATGCTGGACACGAGTGGTCTCCAGCGGCGGCGTTAGGATGGACGCCAATCCCTCCATCGGGGGCGGCCGACGAGAGGCTCGCGTTTTCGACAGCGAACAACTTGGTTTCGCCAATTACAGATTACGACAGTCCTCCTCCGGTCTACAACAGGCTCAACAGGACATTGTCTACACGGTCGGACGAGCTCTGGTTCACGGGAGAACGCTACGCTTGATCAATTCCATGTCTTTCTTGGCCGGAACCTCTTTCTAGCAACTACTGCCATCACGATCCTGGAGTGGTCCTACAAGTGAAGAGGAATGGGTTATGACCGATCTCCAATGCGGTTAAAACAAGGGGCAACGGATAGAAGGAAATCTACTGCATATTCACGAGGAAAATTAATGTACGACTAATAGCATTCTGGCGGAGTTTACGGAGTTTCTTGCAGCGTTCA